TTTATCGAACCGGATTTTATTAGCTTGAAGATTAATTCAGAGAGGGAGAGAGAGAGACTTGGAGAATTGGCAGGTTCTTTATTTCAATTGAACTTATATCCTGGTGTTTCAAATTAAAATGAGCTTAATGTGGGGAAAACATACAAATGATAATCTCCTTTTGAAATGCGGATTACTTCACTGTGTGAAATCCGTTAGCGGATACAAATGTGTGTTGTTATTTTTATAATACCAATATAATGGTAAAGTATTAAGTAAAAATAAAGGTACCACGTCAATAAAAAAAATATATTTTTTTCATAATTTTGCCGATATGTTGCCTACTGACGCATTCTGGATGCATAAAAACTAATAGAACAGGTACTATATGTTTCTAGGTTTATATATAAAATTGGTACAGATATCGATTTGATATAACAAATGAAGTGTATATCAGTATATATAAAAATATAGCTCTAAAAAAGTCGTAATATGCATGCAATAAAGACTGCGTTTTTCCGATATGGCATATAACCCCGGACGGAATTTTTCCAATTATTCCATTTGTAATTCAACTTAATTCAATATTTTTCTTTGATTTTCAAATGAAACATTTCGTACTACAATTGGGATAATTCGGATTACAATTAGAATAATTCGAATTACAATTTGAACCCTTTTGTCACAAATAATTCACAAATGGTGGAACATACCAACGATATGATTAATATAGCGATACCTGCCGATTGAACGTATTTTCGAGTTATAGTTACATTATAAAACCAAATAAAATTTTAAAAGAAAAAATGCATCCTCGTAAAAAAATCGATGTAGATTCCGGCTTCCTCCAAATAATTCGTACTTTAAAGGCTTCGCTACTCCTTTTAATATAATATGCATTCAAAAAAAACGTATTTATTGTAATACTTTAATGCGCAAACATACGAATCGCTCGGTCTACCAACGCATGAACATGTCAGGAACAGCTGACCATGAGAAAAGCAGGAACATGCCAAATTTAGTCGGAATACACGAAGATTTATTATATTTATAGTAAATGCCATGCGTGCAGGAAACTGCAATCTTTTGAAGTTGATTGGCATCTCTGTTGCAATTAGAGAATTCGAGGTAGCAAAATATTAGACTAATATCATTGCAAAGGCGTTGTGTGTCAATGTTTGTTAATAAAACCATACCTCAATCTAAACCGATTTCAATATAATTTGACAAAATTAATTTTTGCACCAAATTCCGTCACACTTTCCATATTTCATTGAAATTTGAGATATATAGCGTATTTGGTGCATCGATATACGAAATGGGCCGAAAATATATATTGGATGTATATCCAAACCTCAACCAATTTCAATATGATTTGGAAAATGTATTTTTGTACCAAATCCCGCCACACATTCTGCATTTCATAGGAATCGGACATACATATCGCGTTTGGTGCATCAAATATGTGAAATCGGCCGAAAATATATATAGGAGCTATATACATATTTCAACCGATTTTAATATAATTCTCATTCCGAATTTCATTGCTTTCGGACATATGTACATATATAGTGCATCAGACATGAAAAATTGGCCGAAAATATATTTGTGAACTATATCCAAATCTGAACCGATTTGAATATAATTTGACAAAACAATTTTTGCTCCGTTGCGTACTCCTAATTTGAAAACTATATCTGCAATCGATCAATAGATATGTGCATACAAAAACTATTTATTTTGAAGATGCCTCCGATTTTGATGCAATATCTCCCGTTCCAAGTAGACATTCAAAAATTTATACAGCCAATGTTACTTTCAGGCTATGCTGTAGTATATTTGGAAATTTTCAGGAAAATCTGTTCAGCAGATTTTTAATCCATAAATTTTATTTATTTTAACCGCAAAGAAAAATGCAATTAGTTGACAACTTTAATGGAATCCAATTATGAACCCCTATTTTTAGTTCTCTGCAAATTCTAGTTGTCATTTTTTCCAATAATTGTGCTTTCACTATTAACATGCCTCTGTCATGAGCACACCATTCTCTTAAACTGCATTTTGTCAATTCTTTACCCACTAGTTGCAACGACACATCGCTCATTTACTCAAATGCGTTTTTATATCCTACGCCACACTGTGATACATTTGTTTGTAAAATGGAGAAGGAAACGAAAGGCATTTGGTGGTCAGTCTTTTAATGATGTTCATATAATCACATTATGAGTCGATTTATCGATTTCCGTCCGTCTGTTCATGTATTTTTGTGAACAGAGTTGCATATATTGTCAGATTGAGACGAAAATTTTCACAAATCCTTTTTTAACCCTAAGGCGAATGCTATTGAAATTGATAGTAATTTTTCCAAATTTAGAAACAACTACCATATATCTTCGTCTTATTTCAATTTTATAGTGCGCCATACGTGTAGTATTCGTCCAAATTGGATAAATATCGGCCATCCCACCGAATTAAGTGTGTCAAATTTGGTAAAAATCTTTTCGAATATAGCTATAGTTCCCATTTTAAAATTTCATCGGATTTGATGTTTAAGTCTCCCACATTTGTAAAATGAACTCCACAACAATGATATTTGGTACCAGATATAAGATAAAGCTCAGAAATACCAGAATAGAACGCATGTTGGGCACCACTTTTGCAAAAAACGATATTTGGTGAATTCGGTTCACATATATCCACAGGGTTAGATAAAAAACTGCAACAAAGTCATATGCCATAATTTTTACTTTCTTCAAAAAATGTCGCAAATAGCATCACATTTTAGATTATGTTTAGATTTGTTCATCTCTGGTCACCTTTGGCACGAATTATGGCCTTCAAACAGCCAATAAAACCGTCACACGCAGCCCGAATCTGGTTCTGCGGTATTTTGGCCCATTCCCGGCGAAGCGCTTGCTTGAGGTGATCGGCACTTTGGTACTTTTCAGTGTCAACCTTGCTTTCCAAAATACTCTATACACAATAGTCCAAAGGATTGGTATCCGGAGATTTTGGTGGCCATTGTGCGCTGGAAATGAAGCAAGTAGCTTCATTTTGTAACCATTCTAGGATGGCGCGTGCTGAGTGCGATGGTGCTGAGTCCTGTCGGGATGTCCAAGGTCTGCGGTCAAAATGTTTGCGTGCTCAAGGCTTTAATACACCCTCCAGAAAATTTTCGCGATAACATTCGGCATTTATTCTGATGCCAAGGTCGGTTAATACGAGCGGAGAACGACCATCGGCTGTTATGACGTCTCACAACATCACCATGGCCGGCGCTTGAGTTCTGGTGACCAACCGAAGGTGCACATTTTCAGATGACCTCTTTGGCAGGTAAACACGATCATTTTGTTTGTTTACATGCTGCTGGACAACGACTGTTTTCTCATCGGAGAAAACCAAATTCGGCAGTTCACCATTTTCGGCCCAGCGAAGCAACTCTTTAGATCTTTTGAGTCTATTTTCTTTCTGTTTGCGGGGTGTGTTTTTGCGCTTTTTGGAATTTCAATGGCCCTACCCCGAGCTCATTTTTCAATATTTTCCGAATGGAATATTGCGATATATTCAGCTAACAAGCCATTTTTCGGCCACTGCGACTCGGATTTCGATCAAGTCGCTTCTTTACTTTTCGAACCATATCTGCTGATGTTGCGGTTTTCTTCCGTCCACTTCCTTAACGTCGGACTACGCTACCAGCATCACGGTGGCCAACAGAAGGTGCACAAAGTAAATACGATAATTTTGTTTGTTTACAAACTGCCGGACAACGAATGTTTTCTCATCGGAGAAAACCAAATTCGGCAGTTCACCACTTTCGGCCCAGCGAAGCAACTCTTAAGCTCTTTTGAGTCTATTTTCTTTTTGTTTGCGGTGTAAGTTCTTGCGCTTTTTGGAATTTCAATGGCCTTACCCCAAGCTAATTTTTCAATATTTGCTGAATGGAATATTGCGATATGTTCAGCTAACAAGCCATTTTTCGGCCACTGCGACTCGGATTTCGATCAAGTCGCTTCTTTACTTTTCGAACCATATCTGCTGATGTTGCTGTTTTCTTCCGTCCATTTCCTTGACGTCGGGCTACGTTACCAATATCACGGTAACGAGGGATGGTACGAGACACAAAAGATTTATTCACATTTAAATTCTGGAGTGCTCCAACGATAGCTACTTGTTGATTTATAGCCAATTATAAAGGTATCACACTATCACGCTTGAACTCCATCACGAATAACATTTTTTCTGGAAAATTCTCACAAATATGCTTTTGTACGCTTGTAAACAATTTAATGAGCTATCGTGGCTTAGAAATAAGAGATGTCTGAAGTTGGTTGCAGTTTTTTCATCTCACCCTGTAGTTGGTATGATTTTATTCACACAAATTCCCACAAAAACTTTTATTTGTTATGTGAAGCTCTACTAAATATGTAAAGAAATAAATCTTACTTTATCTTCATATCAAAGTTTCTTGGTAATATCAGTACACAGTTCTCAATGTACTCTAAGTTTATAAAGCACTTAAATACTACAAACAATGCCGGATCTTATACAAAAATTTAGCACATAAAACTAGTAATCTTCTTGAAAATAATTGTATATACAGTTATATTTGTTATCATTTCAAATCAGATCATTTTTTAATTAAATTTACAGCACACAGTAAACATATTATCATTAACGATTTTCAATAAAATCTTTCTGCACCACTATTGCAAATGAATGAAAATATTTGATTTAAGTCAATAAAGAATAGTTTTTTTTTAACTTAAAAAGTGAATTATTTTGAAATAAATTTGCTCGTAAGCTCCACACAGTTAAGATAATGCATGTTTTCATAATAGGCACTGTTTTGGGTAATGACTTAAATAAACCACCAACATCTATTGCATCTTTTAGAAATTGAACCAATTCCATTCTCACTTTATGAGGGTCTGTTTAAATAATTTATAATGCTTCTTTGTTTTTGTTTAATCTTAAAAATTACATATCAGTGTAAAAAATTAATAAATCGTTAATATATGCACCTTGGTTGATCCACACGAACACAAGAATACTGATAACAGCACTGAAATGGGTTTTATAAGAAAACATTTTGTGCGCGTATTTTTATATGACAATGAAGCTATAAATCTTTATTTCACTATTTATTCACACATTTCTCCTTTCTACTATTATTGTTTACTTTTTCATTTTAAACACCTTGACTTATTTATTGTCATTTGTTTTATATATTTATTATTTTGATTTCATTTCTTTTTTTCCAATTTTTAATCAATTCGTTTATTTATTTTTTCTTGTCTAGTTGTTTTCCGTTTTCGACGCGTTTCGAACCAGTTCACAGTTCAGCTTTTACGAAAGCACCGCAACGTTTAACGTTTTAACTGATAATGAAAAGATTTTTTCAATAACAGCGGAGTTTTTTCGCCAAGTATCTATCTCGGAGCCACAGCGGGGTAGCGTAACAAAAATACGCTACACATAAGACGCCGGAGAGCAGCTATTCAGCAATGCGATCGATGTTGTTGGTACGTACTATTTATTGTCCATGAATAATTTGTTTCTTTTAATTATTTATTGTTTTGCAGCATTTAACATTTTCTGAATGTGATATCGGAAACGTATGTATAAGCTTAGATGTAGGTATTTTTTATGTACATACTTTTGCCTGGATAAACACACAAACAATGTACAGGGAGGGCATGACCGTAGGAGCATGATAGTTAATTTTATTTCTGTACAAACAGTTAAAAATATTGTAAATGAAACAGGTTTATAAGACAACAAACAACAATGAAACATTTGTATAAATCGAGTGCTGACCGCCAAGAAATATCAATACGGCCAATTGTGAATTTGAAATTAACTGTTGTGAGCATCATCAAATAAATGGTAAAACGTGCAAAAAATTGTGGCGTCTTATCACAAAGATGATTACACTAGCTTGCAAAAAACAAGATCTTTGTATCTTACAAACAGAAAATTTCAAATCGGAATGAAATCGGATGAAAAATACATATGGAAGCTATAGCTATGACATACTTGTTTCTACGCACAATTTGGTAATTCCATCCCATTTTGCTAATATTACACGTATGGTGCACAATAAAAGACAAATCGGACGAAGATATATATGGGAGCTATAACCAAATCTGAAACGATCTCGATAAAATTTGGGAAACGTATTTCTCTGCTGTATTTCATAATTTTCCCCAAATATTGTTGTTACAAAGGACAAAAATATCAAATCGGGTGAACAATATATATGGGAGATATAGCTATATCTGAACCGATTTCGATGAAATTTGGTATACCTATTTCCAGTCTTAATTTGGTCATACAGGGTGAGATAAAAAAAAACTGCAAAAAAAGTAAAACGCAATACTTTTCACATTTTTTTAAATTTTATTGAAAGCAAAAAATGTCGGAAATAGCATCAAATTTTAGAATAAGTTTAGATTTGTTCGAATTGGTCACCTTTGGCGCGAATTATGGCCTTCAAACGGCCAATGAAACCGTCACACGCTGCCCGAATGTTGCTCTGCGGTATATTGGCCCATTCCCGGCGAATCGCTTGCTTGAGATGATCGACACTTTGTTATTTTTTAGTGCCAACCTTGCTTTAAAAAATTCTCCAGACACAATAGTGCAACGGATTGGTATCCGGAGATTTTGGTGGCCATTGTGCGCTGGAAATGAAGCGAGAAACCTCATTTTGTAACCATTCATGGGTGGCGCATGCTGAGTGCGATGGCGCTGAGTTCTGTTTAAATGTCCAAGGTCTGCGGCCATAATATTCGGCATTTAATGAGGTAATGCGTACTGTAGAGTGTAGGAAAAGATAAGGGGGTGAATTTTTATATTTGTACCATAACGTGTAAAAACTTTATCGAATCGAGCTGAACCTATACATTTTGTTATGAGGGTAGCTATGAGTGAGACAAAAACTGAGTAAGAAGACGTTTCAATCATTTAGGGACAAGCTCAGAAATTTATTTATAAGTTAAATTTAAACGTATCAAAATGTTCACTTTTAAACTGAATATTTGCACAATCTCCATTTATACAGTGTTTTCTAATCATGTGGTTTGTCTTGATTCCTCATTTTTTCGTTCATTCATTCCTCTAAACTTGTCATATTTAAAATGAATGATGAGAATTTCGTCTTTGACCAAATCGTGCGGAATCTGAAGAAGTTAAAACAAAAACGTTTGAATTACGAAATTCAAACCATTTCGATTCGATTCCGTGACATGTTTGTACACTACATTTATATTTTACCTATGATATATACATGTGTTCAAATACCTAATACCTGATGTAGGTCTTCGATGTTTTTCACTACTGTATTTGAACACATGTATTTATACGAATGTTACCGAAATACGCCGAAGGAAGGAATATTTACAAGGTGACAATGTAAGTTTAAGTTTATTTAAAAAAATAATTTTCGTTGTAAAAGATAATGAGGATATTTATAGATTTATAGATTGTATTCTGAAAATGTTAATTGAAAAATTGGAAAAATATATATAAGCACTCTAATAAAAAAGTTCTGTATTAAACTAACTGACCGAGACCGAGTTAATGCATAGTTATGCAGGATGAGATAAAAAAAACTGTAACAAAGTCAAACACCATAATGTCAAAATGTTTGCGTGCCCAAGGCTTTAATACACCTTCCGGAATATTTTCGCGATAATATTCGGCATTTATTTTTATTCCACGATCAATTAACACGAGCGACCATCAGCTGTTATGGCGGCCCACACCATCACCATGGCCGGCGCTTTAGTTCTGGTGGCCAACCGAAGGTGCACATTTTCAGCTGACCTCTTTGGCAAGTAAACACGATCATTTTGTTTCTTTACAAACTGCTGGACAACGAATGTTTTCTCATCGGAGTAAACCAATTTCGGCAGTTCACCACTTTCGGCCAATCGAAGCAACTCTTTAGCTCTTTTGAGTCTATTTTCTTTCGGTTGTGGTGTAAGTTCATTATTTATTTATTTATTTTTGCAAAATTGTCAGGCGTACTTGTTGTACATTAGTTAGTAACATTCAGAAGAAGAAGGCTCAATCCCATAGTTCTTTTGGTGGTCTTTTATATATCGACAATCGATATATACACTGAAAGTACTGGTCCCATTTACGTACGAATCCAATTTTTGTGCCTTATAAGGGAAAAATAATGTTTTTGTCGAATTCGGTTGAAATATTGATAAAGCTTGGATATATAACTACCTCCAATTTCATATAAACTATGTTATCTTCTTTTATCTGAAACAAACACCTAACTCCCCGTTAGTTGCTAAAATCAAATAGTAGCATATATTGTGGCAATTTGAATATTTTTGACTATATCAATCTATACATCTTATTCATTCTTGTGTCCTTTGGAATCTCGGGTACAGAACAAATTTAATAATGAATTTATTATTATTTGTGACACACAATATAAAAAATCATAAATTAATCAATCATTTTAATGAATTCCATATAAATGCTGAAGAAACTAGAAATTTTTTATGTCTATATTTGTCTGTGTTTTTATCTTTATTTTCTCAATAGTCTGCACATTGTTATATGCGTACTCTATTTTTTTTCTTTTCAACTTAACATATATTAATGTTTTAAGCTTAGTTAATTGGAATGTATGCTTGTTTGTATAAATGTTCTCCTGCTATTCCTCCTCAATTCATATGCGGCTATGCTTCTTCTTCTGTTTTTGTTCCAACATCGAGTTGAGTTACAGATATTTTGTTACGCTACTACGGATTACTGGCATATTTCTTAGATGATGATGCTGTTGATGTTGGTAATCATTTTTAAAGTAGATGATGGTGATGCTGTTTGTTCGTTGTGACGTTTGAATGTTTGTGCTGCTTCTGCTGGTTAGGTATGTATGATCGTTCGTTCTTTCCACTTGTACGATTTCTAGTTTATTTATCTGTCGACTGGTCTGTCTGTTTTTGTTTGTCCGTCCGTTTGTCTGCATCTTTAAGCAACTAAAGGAACTTCTGCATTTGTGGCCATTGATTGTGCGGCTACAACTACTGGGTTAACTGTAACTGTGACCGGTACTGATGCGACGGTAGTATGTGGCGATGGCTGTTGTTGTTGCTGCACAGATGCGGATGCTGATGCTGTAACATCTTCATGGCCATCTTCACTTATTTGTAAATTTCGCATTTGTACAACCTGTTCAACAGGTTCTCTAGCATGCGAGTTGTTACTATCTTCATTAAGATTATTGTCATGTGCAACATTGTCATTATTATCCTCCACTCCAGCAGCTCTATTAATATTCACTTGTTGGTCGTTTGGTTCGATGTCATCAACAGATGTTTCATTACTTAAAACCTCTCGCATGGGGTCATTTAATGTCACAGAGTTGGTTACAACAATGACATCTTGTTGTTGTTGCATCTGATGATCTTCTTTTAAATGGCTATCATTTTGATTGGATTGTGATACATGTGGCGTATGGTGTTCTTTTACCATCGTGTCGTAATTATGAATGTCGTCAGCGTCATTCGATTCTGTGGCATAACCATTTGTAAGACTTCCACATCCATTATGTTTTTTTGTAACTTCTTCCTTTATTCTTTCACCAACTTTATTATCGATTTCTGATATTTTTTGTTGTAATTTCTCTTTGAATTCGGTGGGCCATCTACGATTCCATTGACAGAATAGTTTTATCTAAAAGTAGCAATTAAAAAGTTATTTTACACATATTTTAATGAAGCAATAACAGATTTGTACCGTTATAGAGTGTATTGGATAAAAAATAAAACCATTATATTTTACTTTTTTGATACCTTATGACTGACAATAGGTACATAAGTAATGTGCAAGGTTATAAAGTTAAGAGAGAGAATGATATGGTGAAGAGAAATAAATTAACTCCCATGTATTTCAATATTTCGTGGTTGCCAATCATTACTTGTTTGCCTATGTTGGGCTCTTTGCCAGATATGTGAACACTTAATCACATTTCATAAACATTAAGTCGTTGTTGTATATGGGACGAATCGGACTAGAAATATGAATCTTTCTTCTCGCTTCTCTGCTTGGAGAAGTTGGTTGCCGTACCTGAAATGCACGCAATTTTCCAAAAGGAAATTAAATTACAATTACAATTGAAATTAAATTACAATTCGCTAGAAGCCTCGTCAATATAATCAATCTGCCCAAGCTTAAAGATGGGCTATATTGGTCTTTACATTGCGAATATTTTATCGCAACGGAACCGAAGCAACTAATTTCATCAATTAATTTTTTCAAGTAATAATTTGTGTTTTATAGTACGTTGAAATTTTACCGGATTTGCATATAGGTCAAATACATCCTTATGATATATAAATAAATGAAGGATGTTAAGCCGGCAAAAATCTCTAATGTAAATATACAATTAGAAAATGAAACACATCAGAGAAAATTGATTTATTATGAATTCTACTTTTTTAAATTTTTTTCTTACCCTGCATTGGAATAGAGACATTGGTTTGTCACTTATATTTAATGATCGTTCCATGTGATTTTCTAAGCCATTCATATTTATTGTTGCTGCTGTTGCATTTGAGGCCGTCGATGCATGGTCAGTGTCCGTTAAATAATCGACCATTATGGGTATGAAATCGTCACGTTGCAATTCACTCCATTCATTAAACCATTGTATTATATAACGGAATTCACCATCAATGGTCAAGTTATTCATTGACATCTTGATTGGTTCGTGCGACAAATTCTGGATGATGACAACAAAGCTATAACAAATAAGATAATTTATTTTAAATATATGAATCGTTCCATAATAAATAATCAACAAAAAAACGTTGAACAGGAAAAAGTTACGCTTCACAACAAACAAACTAAGAGAGGTGGCTGGAATTTTGCTTAGTTGTTTAAGAAACCTTGTTAAGTTCGTTAAATCCTGTTTTGATGTTCAATATTCTATAGAGCAAGCAGTCACTTTTAAATCTTGAATTGGTCTGTGCCATTAAATACGACCAAAAAATCAAAAAGCAGAAAATCAGCTAATTTGACTTCAATCGGCAGGAAAAGTTTATATAGTCTGAGCAGCATCAAAATACGACCAAATAGTTGCAAAAGGGTTGAAATTTTAAAAATACTTAGAACTGACATGAATGACACCATAAATAAGGAATTTTTCATACCTTCAGCTTTATGGAATCCATATTGAAATTCACTGATCAATAAATACTTACATACTTTATGGGCTCTACGACGAATATTTCAAGATGTTACAAATGGAAGGGCAAAATTAATATACACTATATTTTATGTAAGGTTTGTACAAATTCCGAAACTAGACCATTTCCATAGGTAATTCATAAGCATAAGGCCTAAGGCTGGGAATTTTGTTATATAAATAAACAAAAAAAAAAAATAAAGCGAATACTAGGGGGCCAAAGAACGGATTGTTATACCCGAGGAAGGTATACTAAGTTTGTCATTTCATTTGTAAACCTCGAAATATACATTTTAGACCCCGCAAAGTATATATATTCTTGATCAGCATAAAATTCTATGTGGATTTCGCAATGTCCTTCCGTCTGTGGAAATCACTCTAGCTTCTGAACGAAATGTAGTTGGTTAATAAAATTTTACTCAAATGTGTATTATATCTGCAGGACTTTTGGTATTGAAACTGGGTTATGTAGGTCCACGTTTTGGATCCCATATAATGGTACCTTCTTTTTTCGGTATTTTGTTGATTTAAGCAACATTATTTACCGGAAATGTTTCAAATTCGGTATTTGAAGTTCGTAATGGGCACTACAGCCTATGACAGAAAATTGTCTGTGCAAGTTCACGTCTTCATGTAACCCCTATATAACGGTACCTCCAGATATTCCGCACTTTGATGATTTTAGCGACATTATTCACCGGGATTGTTTCAAATTTGGTGTTTGAAGTTCTTACACCCTGGTAAACATTACTATCGTTCTCCACTAATAAACAAACGTTGTTTTTATAAAAACAATAACAAAGGGATTAAGCCTGACCATTTTGCAACAACAACAAAATTTGGTATCCCGAACAAGCCAACACTGTTCGTAACGAATACTACAACCTAAGAGAGAAAATTGTCTGTGTGGGTTCACGTCTTCGCATATCCCCCATATAACGGTATCTCCCGATATTCGGTATTTTGACGATTTTAGCGATATTGTTCACTGGAATTGTTTTAAATGGATCCAAAATTTTTTATTCAAGTTTCGCATTTGAATATTGAAATGGTTTATGACAAAAGTTGCCTATGCAGGTCCACGTCGTCGTATAGACCATAATATAACGGCTGCATTCGGTATGTTTAAGATTTTTACAGCATTTTTAACGGATTTTTTTTAAATTCCCAATATCGTTCCAAATGGTGGAATGTATTCAAAGATCGGCCCTGCTGAACTTACAGCTTTTTTACTTTTTTCCTTTTTTTCTGATTTTTGCCCCTGTTATACAATATAGGTTTTCCCAATTGCTTTTTGAGTCCGAACTTAAGGGTCAAATATCCGAGTCCAACCTCCAAGAAAAGACACGTTCCCTTCCGGTTTAGAATGAAGTAGTACTTTCCCTCTATTTTTTGAAGCATTCCATATAGTGCAATTTTTAAATCATTTATAAATTTGTATATGTCCAATAATTTTCAAGGACTACTATTTACACAATTCAAAATGAAATAGTCCCTTTACTGGCAGTACCACAGCCTTTTAAAAATCATGACTTATTTTAAACAAACTCGTCATGTTACAACTTGTTGGATAGGTATTTGCATTTTCAATTTATTGGATTAGTGGATCTTGGTCTAACCAGAGTCAGAACCCGGTCTTTCGGGTTAAATATGCGCGTACCCGGGTCCGTCCCCTAAGAAAAAAATACTCTCACGGAGTATTTGCACCCTAATTCTAGGATTAAACCATAAAATTATATGATTCGCCTTTGAAATTAAGTTACATATAAATTAATTAAATTCAGTTGAAGACATTTGAATAATGTACAAGAAATTCTTGCATATTCAAGAGCCGATGTTGGATCGTAGTTGCGACGTAGGTAATTGTTTTAAGTATTTTTTTTTCATTTAATCCCGAATTATATTTTCTCTCTCGTTCTTTATATGTTTCTGCAATCGAACAATAGAAAATATTCTTTCGTAATATGTCTTTTTTAATTGGGACAATTCAGCAACTGCATTTACAAATCTCACTAAATAGTTATTGTTTTTGTTGTATACAATTGAGACGTGAACATTTATCGCCTGTAGTTACACAAGTAACCCAATGTGCTTTGTCTATTGAGCTTGAAGTCAAGTAAAATTTATAGCATGCGATATATTATGTTGCCAAGCTATTTGTCTACCAAACTAACGGTATTTTATGGTATCTTAAAAACTTTAAACATTTTTGTATATTCATAAACTCGTTTGGTTTACATGTGGGTTTATACATTTGAAGAATTTTGACTTTGTATAGAACGCAAAGTCTTCAGATAAATCACTGTTGCATTAATTTGACATTACTCTTCTTGCCAACAGATTACAAAGTGAAGGCAAACGTTCGAGTTCCATTGAAAAGAAGATGATAATTTGGTCATGATTCCCTTTGTAAATCGCACACAATATTTAGTTTTTGGACACAAATTTTCTGGTAAGAAAAATCCACTACAATCTAATGCCAGTCAGCATTCAGTACACACAATTAATATTCTATGTAATCCAATACCGTTTCACAACAGATCTTATTGCGACTTAACACCACGACACCAAATGAACAAATGGTTGACAACATAGGTATCTTGTTTTTCACCTTTTCCGTTTGTGGAGTCTGGGAGATTTTATTGCTTTTTGTTGCACCTTTTGTTGTCTGCCGTGTTTAACTAGATAGCGATGTTTGTTGTTGTCTGGTCCACGATTAATGTTCAACTAAGATTTTGTGGCTAACACTGCAAGAGTTGAGAAAGATTCAATACCACACATCCAGCCAGCCAACCATCCAGTTAACAATAATCTAAGCAAGTTGAAGACAACAATCAAATCAGATGCACTCTCATACTCTTAAAACTAGACTTTTTTAGATGAATTCGGCTTGAATGTTGTGAGATTCCATTCGTTTTGTTAAATCTGTCGATAATGGCTTTTTCCGTATTTTATTTCAACTTATTCTCTTAATTCTTACATTTAAACTGGATTGGATTTTTGTTGCGTTTGTCTTTTTTCCAATTCGTTGTTTTGTTTGCTGTGTTTGTTTTGTGTGCGTTTTTCGTTGCAGGCAGACGAAATGAAAAACCAGAGCAGTGTTGCCACTATTTTCTGACTCTCAATCTTAAATTCGAAACCATGTAAAGTGGAAGTTATTTTGAAAAACCTGGATTTTAGGTATTTGCACCTTTCCGGGTGTATGTAGTTTTTGCTTCAGGGGACGGACCCAAATGCCCGGATATTCGACCTGAAACTCCGGGTCCAAGACTATGATCTACTAAACCAATGTCGACTAAAATATTCGAAAGCCCAACGATTGGGAGTGGTATCAAGATTATTGATTATTTGGACCCGAATTATTTTAAAAATTCCCCAAGAATCGAAAAAGGTTCCATTTTGGGAATCCACAAAATTTGTGCCAAATTATAATTGACACTTCAACCTTTCCAAACTACTACAACTTGTGCTATTATCTTTCCTGGATCCAGAGATATGGATCGTTGAACCCAAAAACGACGATTATGTACAGTACATTCTGTTCAGTTTTTCTATGTTGTTTTAGGTAGCAGCCTTCTGGCTATGCCAAGAAGTAAAATTGTTGCATTGTTGCCCGGAAAATCCTAGAATTATTGTTAAGAATCCTCTCCATCCTCAACGTGTCACTGTTGGGCCAATATGCTTTTTTCAGTTCTAAAATGAGCATCCATTGTATATACAGAAAACATAGATGGGAACCTGTTTTCTATGTAGTGAAAGTTGACAAGGTAAATTACAAAAAATGCAAAGATTGATATGATTATTTGAAATGACGTTACCTGACGTTACCATGTACAATGCCTTTGAGAGGTTTGCATATGTGATTATCAGCAAATTTCACTAACCTAAATAATAAGTGTGTCTTATTACCTTAAAATTGGTAAAAATTGTTTCAAATTTGGAAGTCGTCTGTAAATGTCTGTATGATTAATCTCTGTTTATGGCAAACAAATTGTTTCGTTTTGACAAATCAGCTGATTCCTTGCCAGTTTTAGCAGGGATTCCGTCTGTTTACTTTTCTGTTTAGTTTTCTAGCAAAAGACAATAAAACTACCTTACTCTCTCAGAAAGAAATTGTACCTAACATAAAATCACAAAATGTGTTTTGGCGGTAAACTCGGTTGTCAAATGGGCTTACTGGCCGACACTTTGTAGGCCATGTGCATCATTTTATCATGATTTGTATGGAATTACGTTTGAGTAGTTGTAGAATATGGCCATAGATTATGGTGAGAAGTTAGTTATTTTTGTTCGCAACTCAACCACTTTGGCAAGACCCTAAACGGTAGGTACAAATTATATGGGGACTTTAGCAATTGGTAAACCCATAATGAAATGATTTACAAATACCAACTCTATTCACGGAGAACCCGTAGTATCAAGCTAACAAGTTCTGCACATGTTCGACATATAATACAAAAGATTTTGGAATTGGATCGGATCATAATTGAAACTGTAGAACTTTGTTAGGTCGGTTTGAATTTTACACTAAGAATTTATATACTTAATGCAGTCTGTGTGACAGCTGCTATCTTCTATTGTTTTTTTTAGAAATATCAAGACTTCACAATTTTTCGCATTTTAATAAATCTTTGCTATTTTTTTTTTTGTACGGATCGTACAGTAATTTATAGAATATTTCTAAAAAATAAACGTGCACAGCATTGCAGCGCAAAATTTTACATTTCTCATTTTGTTTAAAGAAATCTTCCTCCATTCCAGACCTAATAAAAGTGGTCTTGTGATGGTCCCAGTTGGTTCCAAATTAGCATTTTATATATGTACGGAGAGGGTAGGACGTGAGAAATTTGAACCAAATAACCCTTTTTTTATGGGATTTATTATTAGGTTCAAAATATTGCAGATGAATAATTTCACTATTAAAGAAAAGTTCTGATTTTTTACTACAAAATAATATTTTACTTTATTGATAAATGTTATTTATAAATCGAATATTTTGTTTACCGCTACTCGGGTATATCACCGCCGGGCACCAACTGAAATAAAAATTAATAGACAAGTAAGAAACTATTGTTTAAAATCATTGACATTACTTTTCGTACCATTGTTATATTGTTTCCATTCAATAGAATTTGATCTAGTTTTGTTATTCGTCTACCTTCGGGGGTGTTTTCGTACTCAGTTACATCATCCAGCAGCATATTAACGAAATCATCAAAGCCGAGCAGAGTACCCACCATTTCCTTGTCATTCTTCATAATGATATGAATGCGGGACCCAATGCATTTGTCGACCAATTCTAAAGAAGAGAATTAAAGAATATTCAGACATTATATTGTGTTAAAAAAAAAGATTTTGTAAAGATTTGAAATCCCGAGAGTATAACACCTGCGACAAACACAAGGCACTGTTAAATAAATTAATCACTAAACAAATGAATGAAAATTGGCCATTGGTAATCCGAAATGTCTGGTTAAAGCAAATTTTTTTAGTAAATCCAAAATTGGGTAAACACATACAAAAAAAAACACAAATTATATTGGGGGTGGCTTTGGCAATGTTAGTAAATATGTAAAAACATCGGTACAAACGTCTAGGCAATATGGGCTTGACGAGTCCCAACTTCACGGTGAATGTAGCGGGAACCGTACCGTTCTGTCATTTAGCAATTCAGCTCATCCTGCAGCAAAAGTGAATATTCAGGACGTAGTAAGCTTGTATTCCTATCTGAGAGACACCATTTGGAAATGTTGTGGAAACCTTGGGCTTGTTGAAAGGCTTAAAAACTCTGATAGCCCTTGGTAGTACCTAATGTATCCATATACCACTGCTTGGTCGAAATAAATTGTAACAAAATTAGTTGTAGTATCAAGGACTCACCTAAAGGCAACAATGTGGAAACATTGGTTGGAGGAGGTACGGCAGTCATATTGTTCTAAGAGCCGGCAAATAAACGATGGAATTAAGTCGCTCCAAGGCGAAACGGTTCAAAGGAACTTTCCCCTGATAGGAACTATCGGAACTAGATTGAAGGTTTTGCAACTAGTTCCTTTTCTTCATATAGTTCAATGTTGCTCAAAATTGTTCATGCATATGAGCCATGGCAGAATGGACGCGTCCATGGTAGAACTCAAGGGCTAAGTACATAAGAAGCTTGAAGTCAAGGCACGGCCTATTTTGTGACATTTCACAAAGGAATTACAGAGCCGCACTAAAATCCTGCCGTCGTTTTTCATTATAATTTGGCATTAATATGCCTAGCCATGACTTCAAGCTTTTTATGTATTTGCAGCCTAAAGGGCTAAGTACATAAGAAGCTTGAAGTCATGGCACGGCCTATTTTGTGACATTTCACAAAGGAATTACAGAGCCACACTAAAATCCTGCCGTCGTTTTTCATTATAATTTGGCATTAATATGCCTAGCCATGACTTCAAGCTTTTTATGTATTTGCAGCCTAAGAAGGTAAAGACATGTATCATATGTTTAAATTTTTTTCAAATTTATACATATGACCATGGTACAATAAAAAGGTAAGGTAGAGCTACCAGCTGATTACAATTTTTTTCTAAGTGTGCACGACTTCTGCTAATTTTGTGTATGTATTTATTGTTTTGAAAAATGATTTCAATATTTTCAAAACCAATGATTAGAAGACACGTACATTGCGGCTCGCGTTTTAAATCTATTAACGAGTTTAGCCATGAAATTGAAAGATTGACTATTTTGGCTCATATTTTTGAGAGAAAGATCCATTCATTTCATTAATTTTTCGCGCTATTTAACTCATTTTAAAAATGATTTCTGTAGTTTTACGAAGATGTTCTACCTCCTTATTGTACCATGAATATGACTACAACTCATTGCCAAAATCTACATTCATAAATCCATTGCATACACACAAAATCAGAGATGGGAGCTGTTTTCTATTCATTGAAATTTGACAACGTAAATTACAGAAAATGCAGTGCTGGAATGTTATTTGAAATGAGGTTACATTTATTTCATTATCCCATGGACGCGTCAAAAACCGCAAATAGAATTTTAGAGCCGATAATACCTTTTCCTGTGGTTGTTGTTTTATCGACATTTCATATGCCGCATCGACACAGCAGCTGGGGGCAATGAACTGTCAAACCGATTTTGGAATTGAAAATGTTAAATTAGAAATTATTGAAAAATGTAAAAATTTTTGAAAAATTTATATATATAATCATGGTACAATGAAGAGAAGGTAGGTCAACTTTGACAAAATTGCAAATATAGAGGTCTACCTGTTTGGCTTGTAATGTCAGAATTAGTATCAAAACAATAAAAAATCAAACAACTTGTTGCATTGATTTTGAATAAATAATTTAAAACCGCGAAAACTGAATGAATGGTCTAAATTTCTTTTCAATATCATGTTCTATATATCTCTTATGGTTTATTTCGCGACAAAAACTGTAGATTTTGTCGATGTATTCGTTGCAATAAGCATTTTGAAAACACCCGAATTTGAATATTTTCTGAACAATTTTTTATTATTGAAAAGAAGACACACACATAAGCAAATGAAGTTGACATATTAAGCCAGAAAAATAACAAAAAAATTAAATCATATGGTATTTCTGCCCTACCTTGAATTCATTGTACCATGTATATAATAATATAATATACTTATTTTTGATAAAACGTTTTAAAAATTTTGACATCAACGTTCCAAAGCGTTGATGCATCTACCATGGTACATCCTAACTATCTACATAGCCAGTGATGGCTTTTCGGCCTCTCAAATTGATATCAAAATATACATATTCAGCTGCCAGGCAAAACTGGTTAATATCTTAATATTATCCAGCTGTGTATTTTTTTTTTTTTTTGTTATACCTTGACAAATTTATCTGAATTTATTAATACACATTTTGGCACTAAGAGTTTGTCAAATGCATGATTTTGAAAAACAAGGCAAACATATGACTACTGAAGTTAACTTCTTAAGTTTATCATGGGTAAAACGTGCTAAAAAATCCAAAAATTTAGATGTTACGTGCAACCGAAAAACAACTTCGCACAACCAGCCCACAAATGATGTAACATGTGTTTCTTTCATTATACCAATGGTATAAGAATATATAGTATAAGCAGGTGTTGCACAACAATTTAAAAAAGTAAACATATAGAAAATTTTTGCAAAACAAAGCTTTACTGAAAAGGAAATGATTTTCCTTTAATTATTAATTTGTGTAAAAACGACCCGTCAACAGTGTTATCAAATTTTATCGATTTACTTCAAAAATCGATTACACTGTGTATTTTTAATGGAATAGCCTGAAATCGACATAGCAAACCCTAATCGTCATCCCTTTCATTTAAATGTTGAAAAAAATTAAATTCTCCGTCTCCGTTAGTTTTTTTAAGAATAACAAAATTATAATATAAAAGAACAAAAAAAAAATCGTTTTAAGGAAGAATCATTTTTACTATGCGTATAAAATTAATGTGATCCCATAATAATAATTTTTGCAAAATACACAGTTGAGAAAGGTATTTAAACAAGGAATCGATTTGCCAATTATATCAAGGTATAGGATGGAATCGGAAGTGGCCTCCACAAATGTTTCAGGAAACAGTGGAGTAGAATCGAACAATTGTGAAGTTTTTACGAATAGTGCAATTGATTTGGAAAGTTCACAGAAAAATGATTCATCATCCTGTGGAACGGACATTACTAAAAAGTCAGGTGCCTCACCCAAATTGCACAGCGAAGAAAACAAAAATGTGAAAAATTTGGCAAGTGGAAATGACGAGACTCCAGGTGATTGCATGTATTTCTATGAAGACGAAGTATTTCGCATCGACAAGAAAGGGCGTGTTAAATTTGGCGTCATTTTGGAAACGGCAGTGGAACAAAATGATACCGAGGATAAATTATTATCTAAGGGCGAGGTCCGTATATCATGGTGCGTTCCTGAAAATAATGACGTGTATCCCGAAAGCTCGGTAAGATATAATTATTTTGAACAAAGTTCTTAATTAACAGTTATGCAATTTTACCTTTTATTCAATTCGTACCAAATAATAACTGTAAATTTGTGATATTACAACAATTGTTCTTGCTATGAATTGCATTTACATAGGGGGCAAAAGAAGAACAGAGAAGGATATGTAATAACAATCCGAACATGTAACATGTCTACATAATGGTAGCCAATAACTGTCAAATTATGTTTTTGTGTGTTTTTCATTTCGTGGCAACTTTTCAATGTCACAAAAAAGTCCGTGAAACGTTTTTGTTGCCTTTAAATCTTTTTCAAATGAACGCAATTAAAACAAACAGTCGTTAATTACATCTATTGAAAATTCATCACTTTAATGTTGAAAGAGTGCGTTCGTTATAATTTGGATTCTCTTTAATTTGTCCAAATCAATACTTTCTGCAATTCGGGCTTCATTCGATTTATTCGGCTTTTGTTTCAAAACATTTCCTTTCCTGGTCAGTCTTAGGTATAAATATAATAAATTTTACTGGGTATGTATATGAATAGATGAGATAGGGTTAATTTCGTAAATAGTCTTGATCTATAATCCATCGAAAGTGAAGTTCGATTTTATGACGCTTTCTCTTTATCTTATTTTTCAGATTGGTTTAGCGGATCGGACATTGATGCCTGGAGATGTTGTTCGACACCTGATACGTGGTAAAGGAACACAGCGAGGCTATTGTCGTGATATTAACATGAAAGCTGATGTTCGCATACTGGGCACAAAATATGTTATAAAGAATGTAAATGCCGAGCGTTTAAAGGCGATTTGTCCATTGCAAAGGGACGGTGCAGTATATTTAAATTCATGGGTTGGAAGCATTCAAAAAGTGAAAAGAAAGGCAATTCTAAGGTTAGATAATTGTATTTTAATCACACAGAAAAAAAAAAACAACAATTTTCATTTAATCGCAGAGCTATGAATGGATGCCGAATTGAAATATCTACAGACGATTTCCTGTATTTCATTAATTTGCATAAAGGTGAAGATTCACTTTATCCTGGTTGCATGGTTAAAGCAGACCTTCCACCTCTGGAAGAAATTAAGATATTAACTCCTGATATACCTTTGAGCAAAAATAAAAAGCGGAACTTCCACCCAAGAGTGGTAATAACAATATACCACTACGCACAGTATAGCATTTTAATACTATATTCAAATGTTTGTTTCAGTTTACACTCGAGGATATTTATACGGAATCAGTATGGGTCGATTGGCAGTGTAAAGCCTTGTCCGATGAAACAAGCCTACAAGCCATAACATTACAACCTCCATCATGTGTTACTGGTGAAGATTTAAAAAATTTGAAAAGCTTAAACCTTTTCGAGTCATGTATGCTACAGGTCGACGACGAAAACTATTTAACATTTTCTTCCTGTGATACTGTAATGAAGAAATCGGATTGGGAAAAGGAGATGTCTGTCAAATACAAGTTAATATATCAAAAACAAAAGGAGGATCAGCAATCGATGGCATTGAGTCCACCCACATTAAGTGGGCCGGATACAGAAGGTTCTGGTGTGGGATCGACATTGCATCAGCAATACGAAAAATCGAAAAAGAAAAATAGCATGTGTTTAGATGATAAATCATCAAATAAACTAAAAAGAGGTATCTTTAAAGTTGGAGATAAGTTCGGCAGCAACCACAACAAAGATTCGCTTAGAAAACCCTCTACACCATCTCCAATACAGCAACAAAAAGATGAAAGTGAATGGCTTTCTATGGAGGAAGATGAAGAAGATGATTTCGATGAAGATGAGTTTGATGCGGATGAAAGTCTTAAACTCCACAACGCCAATGATGATGCTGTTAGCACAACTACAACTATGTCAACCGGTTCAAGTCCATCGCGTACTAGTCCCATACGTTTGACAAAACGCCAATTAAAGAAATGCAAAGCAAAGAAGAGCCACAAGAAACCATTATTATTGGAACCAAAGACGGATTTTTCACCAAAAGAGGGTTGTAAACTTGCTACGGTAGCTCTGCTAGTATATAGTACGGCAACTGTAGTATGGCAGGATGGTACGGTAGAATGTGACATACCATCGACCGAATTATATCCCATACATCACGTAGATAATCATGTAAGTTTTCTAATTAAAATACTTTATGTTTTTTAGCATCACAATTTCCATTCTTTTCAGGAATTTTTCCCCGGCGATTTTGTTATATCCGGTTCAGAAGATTCTGAAACTAATTATCGCGATTATGGCGTAATTCAGACTGTTGACCATGATGGTAGAATTGCTCGTGTTAAATGGTTTACCACGTACACGTCTGCAGATGAACCAAAGTATGTATAGACAAGCTTTATAGATGGAATATAGGAAAACTTAAGCTTTTGCATTCCTCAGGCCATCCTATAAAGGAGAATCTGAAGTCAGTGTTTATGATTTGAAAGATCATCCTGATTTTCAATATCGTCCCGGCACAATGGTTATTCGAGTGGCAAATTTTGTGGGCGATGATGCCAAATGTACTGCTGGACAAATCATTGATAATCATATTGATGGCCGTGTTAAGGTGTGGTGGGTTGATGGACACATTAGCATGTGCTGGCCCCAAGACCTGTTTGAAGTTGGTCAATATGACAATGGAGACTGGGGTCAAAATTCGGAAGACTCATGGGAAACTGAATCAGAAAATAGTGACGTAGGTTGTGGCGGTAGCAGCAGTTTAAAAGTGTCTCTGCCACAATCCCATATATTGTCAAATATCGAGAAAGCTCGAGAAGCAGTGTCTCGTTTGGAGGAGATTTTCAATCTAAATCCAGGCTTACAAAACCCAGAGGTAAAAAGAAACATATTAATGAACTATTTTTATTTATTTATTTCTCTAAACACCTTTCTAGGTCATGCGAAGGCTACTGGGAGTTTATAAGAGATGTCGCTATTTAGATCGTTTATTGAACACAAATTTTTTCCACGAAAACAATTTTATGGTAAGTCTTAAAACAGGTGCATGTTGACAAATTTATGCAATAATTCTAAAACTTAAAGGGATTAATTGAACGTGTTCGTTGTGGTGGTAATCAAACCATTTGTGATCGTGTCCAAGACCAGAAGAATGATGCAGGAAAAACTGCAGCAAGCACAAGTCCCAGTCCAAATCAAGCTCATCCGCAGCAACATTATCAATATTACAGTGCCATTGTGGCTGTGAACAACGGCCAAAAGCCTTCGATACAATCTACCCAACACATGCATTCCTTTCCAGGTCTACCATCTAAGGAATTTGCACCAAAGGTTCTGTTCAATATATCTTCCACACCGTTTAAATGCTCTAGCAGTAACCACGTGGTGAATTCTACAAGCCAATTAAGTAACCCATCCAATAATCCAAGGCGGCGTTACTCGTCCACTGCAGCCACACTCCAGCCTTCTCCACCGAGGAGACGAGAAAACGTGCCAAAAGAGAACCAAACAATAGAGCCTGACTGCGATCAGAATTTTGGGCAAGCTGAAACCGTAAATCTAGCTGTAGCTTGTGGAATATCGCCAAGCAAAAATAAACAATATAATACTGAAAAGCATCAACTTCTTAATTCAGCAATGCTTAATATTGAAAGGGCCTATGAAAAAACAAGTCAATTAAAAACTCTAATTGGCGGCAGTGGTGTTGGTAGTGACGTCAATAATGCATCAATGTCGCAAGACGACTCTGGTAATTATTCTCGCAACGAAAACTGTGATGGCAGCTCAACAAGCTGCACTAGTTCCTCCGATCTTACAAATATTGATACCAATAATTCCATAACTAAAGTAAACGATAATCAAAAGTCTATATCAGACAGTAGCATAGAACTGCCGGAAGATATTGCTCCCGAAATGATTTGTGTTCGCCTCTGTTCATTGCTGAAGGAACAATTGGTGAAATGTTTAGATGAGATACGGGAAAGATTTTGCGGCGATGATCAATTAAATTTAAGTGAAGTTTTCGATGTAGATGATGAAACTTTAGAAACTGTTATAGACTTTGAATGTGCTCAGAATGATGATAATGCTGGGGCTGTTAAAAATCCCAAAGATTTTGAAACAGCCGATGATGTTGTGAAACTAACATTACCTGACACCGAAGGAGCTGATGCCAAGGAGACAATTGCAACCTCATCACCAACTGCAAAAGATGACAACAATAAGTCAATTGAAGCTGGTCTTCATGTCTTGAATTCTAGTACCGAATGTTTCCAACTCTTAGCCACTGCGCCCAAAACCCATAAATTCCATTCAACTTTATTTCATCCAAATAATACGCAACAATATTATAAGGCTGTCCAAAAGGAACATCGCATGCTAAAGAGTTCATTGCCGCCTGGGGTGAGTGTAAGGTATGTATATATCTTGACTTATTTTTTTGAGGCCACATACTCGTTAGGCCACTAAGTAAGTCGCTTTTATACAAGTTATTCTATGAGGTTGAGTAGATAATTTTTAGATATCATTTATAAAATTCTTATTTTATTATATATATTTACAGAATTTTTGAAGATCGCATAGATCTGCTGAGTGTAATGATTGAAGGACCCAAAAAGACACCATATGAAGATGGCATGTTTCTCTTCGATATGCAAATGGGTCGTGATTATCCCAAAAGCCCGCCACTTTGCCATTATATTAGCTATTGTTCGGATCGTTTAAATCCAAATCTTTACGAAGATGGCAAGGTTTGTGTATCGCTGTTGGGAACATGGACTGGAAGGGATAGTGAAATGTGGGGTCCCAACAGTACATTGCTGCAGGTGATTGTGTCCATACAAGGTCTTATACTGGTGCCAGAGCCATATTTCAATGAAGCTGGTTATGATAAACAAAAAGGTATTATTTTCCAAATTGGTAATAAATTAGGACGAATTGTAATGCAATTTTTGGTATATAGATACGCAGCAAGGTCAAGAAAATTCTAGAATGTACAATGAAATGGTCATGATCAAAATGGTTCAAGCAACAACTAAACTAATACAAAATCCGCCAGAAATGTTTCGTAATGAAATTATAATGCATTATAAGCACAATGGTATGAAAATGTATGAACGTACTAAGGGTTGGATGGAGATATCAAAAGAAAGTAGCAAAAATTCGATGGAAGACGATGGTATGTAAAGTAAATATAATACACATTTTTGCTATAAATAATTCCGTGTAATTTTCTTTCAGGTAACAACTTAAAATTGACATCTGCCCATGCCATGCCTGATTTTCCCTTGTTACCAGCTAGTCGTGGATTTTGTTTAACACTGGCCGGGTTGCTTGAAAACTTTAAAAAGAAATTGTCTTCATGCATTGATGACGCGATTGGTGTTGGATCGTCAAATGTAAACCAATAGTAATATTTAATTTGGATCTTCGTTTTAACAGCTAGTTGAATTAACCAATTATAGGCCTTTCTTAAATTAATTTTTTGGCGCTAATGCCTTAATGTGGGCGTCAAACGAATATTATTCAATTCAAATTCAAACATAAAATCTTAAATCAATGCTAAAATCATATATTGTGCACCCACCAACAGTCGGTTAGAAAAAACCCAATTTACGTATATTGCACCTGGTTGTCAAAAATCCAACAGAATTTCTGAATTAGAGTGGGTATAACACAAATTGACTTTAGCTTTTTTTCCACTTCTATTTTAATAAATTAATTAAAAAAATTATTTATGGTATTAAAATAATAATAATACTCAAATCGAATCTCTATAAAACAAATGTTATTATATGTTATCATCAAAAAAAAAAAGAAAAAATATTTTGCTGCGCAATATAATAAATTAAAAATGGAAATATAGTATTCCAACATATATTAAATTGTAATTTATATTTAATTTATACTCGAATAGTTTTTTTTTTTTTTTTGAATTTGCGATATGCGATATATTTGCGCAATGAGAAATGTCACAAGAGTTAAAAATAATACAATTAGTTTGCATACATTTTGCGTCCATCTAAATTTAAGAACAAATATTTTCATTATATACATTAAAAAAATTAAAATCAGAACAACAGTATTCAAATTATATTTTTGTAAAATTTTTGCACAGCACTTTGCATAGTACATTAATTTTTTCAAAAATCTCCTTGTTTCTAAAGCTATTTATTTTTGTAGAAAACATTTTTAACATTATTGGCAGTATAAGCTTTTTACAAATGTTTGCATACCATTGCAACTAAATCTTTGCAAAGCATATTGTGAAATGCCTTTTCCTATTATGGATATAAGTATTATTTATTGCATGTTTATTTTCGTTAGTCTTTAAATTTTGCAAATTTCAAATTTGTCATTTTAATAATTATTCAAATGTGTTATATTTATTTTGTTTTTATTTTTCCTTATAAACACTTCTTATGTTATTTAAATTATTTCGCAACAAATGTGTTAAATATAAAAATATGATATCAATTATATATCTTTTCATTCTCTAGAAAATCTGAACTAAAGTATGCGTTGTAAAAATGTATCATTAAAATATTTCTACATGCATACTAAGTGTATGTGACAGAAGGTAGGTTACTTTTGTACTTTCTAAATCAAATTATCAGAATTCATCAAAGACATAAAATGCATTTTGAGCAAATGGTTTGTGTCTACAATACATAGAGTAACAGCTCATGACAGAGGAATTATGGCCTTCAAATGACCAAAGAAACCGTCACACGCTGTCCGAATGTTGATCTGTGGTATTTTGGCCCATTCCCGGCGAATCGCATGCTTGAGGTGATCGACACTGTTGGAATGTCCAAGGCTTTAATACACCCTCCAGAATATTGTATGCTACGGTCGATTAATACCAGCGGAGAGCGACCATCGGCTGTTATGGCCGCCCACACCATCACCATGGGTGTCGTTTGAGTTCTAGTGGCCAACTGAAGGTGCACATTTTCAGCTGACCTCTTTGGCAAGTAAACACGATCATTTTGTCTGCTTACAAACTGCTGGTGTCTTTCTGGAATTTCAATGGCTTTACCTCGAGCTCATTTTTCAATATTTGCCGAATGGAATATTGCGATATGTTCAGCTCACGTGCCATTTTTCGGCCATTGCGACGCGGGTTTCGATCAAATCGCTTCTTATCACGGATACGAGCGATGGTATGAGACACAAAATAACATTTAAATGCTGGAGTGCTCTAACGATAGTCACTTGTGTTTTTCCAGCCAAATATAAAGAAATCACGCTATGACGCATGAATTCAATCACGAATAACTTTTTTTTTGGAAAATTATCACCAAAATGTTTTTGTACGCTTGTAAACAATTAATGAGCTGTCACTGGAATAATTTTTTAACAGCTGTCGGACGAGTGGCTTAGAAATGACAACAGTCTGAAGTTGGTTGCAGTTTTTTCATCTCACCCTGTACTTTTGAATTAGGTTTGAACGTCCCTAATATTGAACAATTGTCATTATTTTCATTGACAATGTTGTTATTGTATACTTTATGGTTGTAATTCATGCATACATTTTAATAATACACCTTCTTATAATAATGTTAAGACATTACAAAGTAAGTAGAACCATAAAGTAATAAGAACCATAATTCGGGGCCAAAAAATCCGGAGGGTGCATTCCGGGTTGTGCTACTACCAAATCTTGTCATTTTTCAAATAAAATCTATTTTTATATCTAAAATATTTTCGTATTTTTACATTTTATATCTCAGGAATGCCAAATTTATTTATCTGCTCTTGGACTTAAACATATAAAGATAAATATTTCAAACCCTTTATCTTTAGGAAACGTTTTTGGTGATGTTAGTTCTTGTGTGATCCTCAAATGAGGTTTTACTTTAGGTCTGCCTTGAAGGATCAAATCCGCAGAAGTACCAGAATTCTGTACTGAAACGAAAGTACATCAAATTTGGTGAAATTGAAATTGTGTGATGAATTGTATCAAGATCGATTCAGATTTGGATATAGCTCCCATACATATCTTCAAACGATTTCGGGTTAATTGTGCGCCAAATAATCAATATCAGTCTAAATGACCTGAATTTTGGTACATCCGACCGAATTCAGTCTAGAAGCGAGAACATAAAAAAATCAGTTCAGGTATAGCTAAAAGCGGTTCTGATATAGTTAAAAAATCGGCTAAAATTTGGATATAGGTCCCGTATATATCCTTAATCCGATTTCAGGTTTATTGTGCAAATAATGGCTAATATCAGCCCAAATGGTATTAATTTCGGGACGTACGTTTTCATTTGGTGTAACTCGTCTGCAACAAAGTTAAACGCCATAATTTTTACATTTTCTTTTTTAATTTCAATGAATATCGGAAATAGCATCAAATTTTAGAATAAGTATAGATTTATTCGAATTGGTCACCTTTGGCACGAATTATGGGCTCAAACGGCCAATGAAACCGTCACACGCTGCCCGGATGTTGCTCTGCGGTACTTTGCCCCATTCCCGCCGAAGCGCTTGCTTGAGGTGATCGACACTTTGGTGTTTTTTAGTGCCAACCTTGCTTTTCAAAATACTCTAGACAGAATAGTCCAACGGATTGGTATCCAGAGATTTTGGTGGCCATTGTGCGCTGGAAATGAAGTGAGGAAACTCATTTTGTAACCACTCTTGGGTGGCACGTGCTGAGTGCGGATGGTGCTGTTTGAATGTCCAAGGTCTGCGGCCAAAATGTTTGGGTGTCCAAGGCTAAAATACACCCTCAAAAATATTTTCGCTATAATATCCGCATTTATTCTGATGCCACGGTCGATTAATACGAGCGGAGAGCGATCATCGACTGTTATGGCGGCCCACACCATCACCATGGCCGGCGCTTGAGTTCTGGTGGCCAAGCGAAGGTGCACATTTTCAACTGACCTCTTTGGCATGTAAACACGATCATTTTGTTTGTTTACAAGCTGCTGGACTACGAATGTTTTCTCATCGGAGAAAACCAAATTCGGCAGTTCACCACTTTCGGCCAAGCGAATCAACTCTTGATGGATATTGTCTTTAAGAGCTAAAAGAGGCTGAGATTTCTTGATATAAGCCCGCGACTTCAAAAAGTCCCACAAAAAGAAGTCTAGAACGGTCAAATAAGGCGATTCTGCTGGCCAGTGCAAATCGCGAAAACGGGATATTAGGGGCCCGGGAAATGCGTCCTTCAGCATATTGATTGTGGCACGGACAGTGTTTGCCGTTGCACTGTCCTGTTGGAATCACATGTTTTCCCATCCCAACTCATCAAGTTTCGGCAAAAAGAAGTCATTGATAATTGCTTTGTAGCGCTGACCATTCACAGTAGACCGATGACTCCTCCAGCGAAAACAGCACACCATACAGTGACTTTGAAGAGCGGGAGTAATGGCTCTTCGTGGGTTACACGCAGATTTTCAATGACCGAGAAGCGTAAAATTTGCTTATTTACGTACCGGTTAAGATGGAAATGGGCCTCAACACTCATTATTTTTGGATAAAAATCATCTTCTTCTTGGTGGTGATTAAATAGTCACCAAAATTCCACGTTCTAGAGCAGTGTAGTGTGTTTACTACAAAAATGTCAAAACATAACTGACATCGTAAAATTTATAGCATTTTCTGATAGGAGGATTACTTCAGCTCCATGTTTTATTAGTTCCCTTTAAAACTAAATTATAACTGCTCTAGAGCCAAATGTTGATAGGTGGTGTGATCTACTTCAATTAAATTCTTTTTGTTACGGGAGCTCTACTGAATATGCCGATGGTATAATGTATCATAAAGTCGGCCCCGCCTGACTTTAAACTTTTCCTTAGTGGTTTTCTTTTATAAAGAAGACAGTCGTTGACTTAAGCCAGTTAAAATTCTTTTATCTCCATCTTTCATCTTTCTCATTCTTGTATCTCTACCTTAAGAAATAAAATTAAGACTAAATTTTAGGAAAACAAGTTAAAAAGTATCAGTCGGTTTTGCCGACAGATGTATACTGTTGCTGAAATCATCAAAATACCGAATATCGGGAGCTTCCGTTATATGGGGGCTCTACGAAGACGTGGACTTGTATACAAAAATGTTTGTCATGGGCTGTAGTACCCATTACGAGCTTCAAATACGAAATTTGAAATAATTCCGGTAAATAATGTCGCTGAAATACGGAATATCGGAAGGTACCGTTATATTTACGAACTTAACCTGCCTACTGGTAAACTATGCATGTATGCAGAATTTTAGCCTGGACATCGCTAGATCGTCTTAGAATTTTACGCTGATCCAGAATATATATACTTTGTAGGGTCTATTATAAATATTTCGAGGAGTTACAAACGGAATGACAAAGTTACCATACCCTCCATAGAATGGTGGAGGGTATACAAACAGGCGTAAAGTTTAACAACAGGTCTTAGCGACAACTTTAACTTCGCCGCTAACTTAGTCAAATATTTTGGTAACAAGTTAGAGAATCACAGGTATATGGCAGGGGTCTAACGTATACATCTTGTGAAACAGTCTATTTGTTCTTCGATAACTTTTTGCAACATTTGTGCATGGGAGCGTAAATTCTATCAGTACAAGTGATTGACGGATTTTTGCATTTAAATTAAAATTCTAGAATCTAATACTGTGCAACTTGCAACAATATGGTAAAAATACGTCTACTATATGGCCTTTGTCACCTTTAAGGAGGAACTTATAATTATACTGCCCACAGAACTACACTCACTTTCATTTACACAAAACCGCAAACACACATCTTTAGATTCATTAGTAGTTTATTAAAAATAATAATCTCCAAGTAGTCTTTGATATTATTCTTAAAACTGGTTATGGCAACATATTAGCAATGATCCAATCCATGTAACTGCCAACCCTGGTATAAACACCGGGCCAACCTTCTAAACCACATGGCCGCGGTCCGTAGGATACAACGCCAGCGGCAAAATACACATTGCGCTTCTCCACAGTCTCTATTACCATTAGGGGGCCCCCGGAATCACCACGGCATGTATCGATACCATCCTCGCCACCAGCGCACATTTGATAATCCGAATTGATGGCCATTTGGAAGGTTTGATATGTTTTCTGACATCTAGTCACGTTCCATACATTTACCATGATCTTCAGTTTCACCGCACTGGCTGTACCCTTTTCGGTTACACCCCAACCGGCCACATCCATGGCATGAGCTGTAAACAATTTCGTGCGTATACTACTGGCCACAGGCAAACAAATGGGAATAAGGTGTTTAAAATGTCCCACACTATCCATTAGACGTATAATGGCAATATCATTAAATTGATCCTTTGAGGTTGGTATGTACGATGGATGGGCAATGGCATAATCGATTCGAACATCAACATAGGGTTCAATGCAATCTTTCACACCATTGTCCACGGTGCAATCGGGATCGAGTGTTAAATCCCATTCACCCAAACGTACACCGTACAATTCCCAGCTGGGCGGCATATCAGGATGTTTGAGGCAATGTCCAGCTGTTAGGACATAACGTGAATTTATTAGACTGCCGCCGCAATAGAAACCAAAGCGATCGGGGGCTGAAAAGAGCAAATTTTTGGATATTAACTAGATTACTATCGGGCGTATGAATTAGCTCTGCTTACCGGTTTTATATTGTATTAATGCCATCCATGGAAACTCATCGATTTCGGTTACATTTCCGCCAAGTATTCTCTTCGACAGGTTTTTTCCACACTCCCCCGGTTGGGGCAATTGATTGCCCGGCGTTGGATCTTTTAAGCTATTCGATGATCTATTGTTGCGAAATCGTTCAGGACAACACACCTGCAAGAGATGTTTGTTATTTTCGAAATAAAACTCTTTGTCAAATGTCTCTTTGAAAATCATACCAAAATTTTCTTGGCAGCTGACTCTTGTGTACCATCCACTCCACACTGGCTATCTGCGAGGAATTTTCTGTTAACATCGGTCAGATTGGTATTCAAGATATTCAGTAAATAATTGCATTCGATGATTTTTATGCAGATACCGCTTTCCTGATGGGGATTTACGCAGGTGCCATATGCCAAAATAGAGTCTACGGTTAAGAAATTAGAATTAGATATGTTTTAAAAGTAAAATTAAATTACTTCAATTGTCTTAATACCAACATTGACAAATATTTACTCAAAATGTGTAATAACAAGTTTAAAAGTATCAGTCAGTGTGGCTGACAGTCAGCCTCAGACAATGTTCGATTATTTAAATTATATTGACTTCTGTTATGACTATTCGAATTGTTGACCCTCTGTGGAGTAGGTTCGACGTGTCAGGTTTTGACTATATTGGTAACTTCCTTTACTTTACATGACATATAAGATTATTTATAGAAAATGTTAACATGTGCGTGAGGCATCAGATATAGTCGAACCATGGTACAATGAATTGAAGGAAGGGCAGAACTACCATATGATTTTAATTTTTTTATTATTCTGGCTTAATATGTCAACTTCATTTGTTTATGTGTGTATTCTTTTCAATAATAAAATAATTGTTCAGAAAATATTCAAATTCGGGTGTCTTCAAAATGCTTATTGCGACGTATGCATCGACAAAAACTACAGTTTTTGTGGCGAAATAAACCATAGGAGATATATAGAACATGATTTTGAAAAGAGATTTTGACCATTCATTCAGTTTTCGCGGTTTTAAATTATTTATTCAAAATCAATGCAACAAGTTGTTTGTTTTTTATTGTTTTGATAGTAATTCTGACATTACAACCAAAACAGGTAGACCTCTATACTTGCAATTTTTTCAAAGTTAGCCTACCTTGTATTCATTGTACCATGAGTCGAACGAAGTATTCCATTTTCATGCTTCATCTAATATATATAATAATATTGGTATGGGTAAAATAACAAAAAAATCGAACATTTATATCAAATTTATGGAAAATCATAAATTCCATATTCATCTCAGGTTTCTGGCAAAGAGAGAAATATTTAGATAGTGTAAAGAATCGCTGACTTGTTTCCCAAGTTATGACAGATAAAAGTATTGAAAATTGTTACCCTTTGTGGGTGAGCTACCAGAATATATATCATCTGCACAACAGATATTGCATTAGCATAAATGTTTGTATGTGTGAAATTTGAAGAGTGTTGAATGCTTATTTCGGTTTCTTTGTTTTTCAAAATCTTGAACCCTATTTGGGGCAGGTAGCAAAAGAAATGGGCCGATCTCTACCATCTTTATAACAGATTTTGTGTTGATGGAAATATTGAGATGTACCAAGTCTGGAATGGAATCGGATGTTAATTTCGCTTTTTTCAGCTCATGGATATTCAAAATTTTCAGCCTTTGTGGGGGAGCTCCACAAGAAGTGGACCGATATATCCCATCTTCACAAAAGATCTTTTGTTAGTGGAAATAATGGGATGTGTGAAATACAAAGCGAACCTGATGATTATTTCAGATTCTATAAACGTTTTGGTTATTCAAAACTTTGGTCCTTTGTGGGGGTTGTACCAGAAGAAATGGTCCGATCTCTACCGTTTTTATAACAGATCGTGTGTTGATAGAAATATTCAGATATGCCAAGTCTAAAGTGTAATGTTTTATAAGCTTAATGGATATTCAAAATTTCGAACTTTTGTGGCCAAGGTACCGTAAGGAGTGGACCGATATATTCCATCTTAACACCAGATCTTATAAAAATATTAGGATGTGTGAAATTTTTAGATTTTAAGATTCTTACATCACATTTTATAAGAGTTATAATTATTCGAAATTTTGACCCTTTGTGGGGGAGGGATATTGTCTATTTTCGCACCTGACGTAGCACTGACGCCAATATTAGTATTTACAAAGTTGGAGCAAACTCGGATTATCATATCTCTTTCTGTGCAGAAAATATTAATTTTTTTTTGTTGGAAAATTTTGACCTTTTGTGGGGGAGGTACCAGAAGGAATGAACCGATTTATTCCGATATAATAAAAATATTGGGATGTGTGAAATTAGAAGACAATGTGACTCTTACATCACATTTTATACGAGTTGTAATTTTTCAAAATTTTGACCCTTTTTGTCGAAGGTAATTGATGGAGTAGACCGATATTGTCCATTTTTTTCACCTGGCCTAGCACTGAAGCAAATATTAGGACTTGAAAAGCTGGAGAAAAATCATATTATCTTTTCTCTTTCTGTGCAGAAAATATATTTTTTGAAAATTTCGACCTTTTGTTGGGGAGGTATCAGAAGGAGTGGACCGATAAGGAGTGGCAATAGGACTCTTACATCACATTTTATAAGAGTTATAATTATTACCCTTTGTGAGGGAGGTATTTGATAGAGTGGATGGATATTGTCTAGTTTTGCACCTGACCTAGCACTTACGCAAATATTAGGATTCGTTGGAGCCAAATCGGATTATCCTTTCTCTTTCTGTGCAGAAAATATATATTTTGAAAATTTCAAACCTTTGTGGGGGTGGTACCAGAAAGAGTGGACCGATATTGTCCATCTCCGAAATCGATCTAAGTTTGATAAAAATATTACGAGGTACCAAGTTTGGACCACATCGGATACTCTCTTCGAGAGTTATCGTGCGCACCAGCCAGACAGACAGACGGACGGATGGACGTACTATCGTAGCTATATCGACCTAGGTCTAAAATCGCTTTTTCGTCTAGGTACTTTTTGACCGTATCAAATGATATATACCCTCTCTAGCCATATGGCTGAGGGTATAAAAACATGCACTAAATTAAAAATATTCTTCTATGGCTTTAATAAATACACTGTGTAATTACAACTTTATTTAAAACAAGTAAAAAAGTTGTAAGTTCGGCCAGGCCGAACTTTGAATACCATCCACCATGTGGAACTAATTTGGCAATTTTCAAAAAAGTAAAATCCGTTAAAATATTAAAAATACCGAATGTAGCCGTTATATTAGGGTCAATACGACGACATGGACCTGCTTAGGCAAGGTTTGTCATAAGCTATTACAATATTAAAATGCGAAACTTGAAAACAATTCGGTGAAAAATGTCGCTAAAATCATTAAAATATCGAATATCGTAAGGTACCGTTATATGGGGGCTATACGAAGACGTGGACCTGCACAAAAAATTTTCTGACTTAGACTGCATTATCCATTACGAACTTCAAATATAGAATTTCCTGCTGATCAAGAATATATGTACTTGATGTGTTACAAATGGAATGACAAACTTAATGTAACTATGGTGGAGGATATCTGTTCCTCTTCTTATTGAAATACATAGTTGTGCATATTCATTTTCTATTTTTTAGATGGAATAAACACTTTTGTTTTGTTACAAACAAAAAATATGTTTTAATTTAATAATTTATGCTTTGCCGATTTTTAAAAAGGCAGATGTCGATTTTTTCTATAAAATTGACGTTTTTCTTGAAATTTAATTGGCAGGTCTGAGAAGGAAGGACAACTAGTTGGATAACATGGGACATCTGCTTTGTAGGTTTTGAATCGCTACTGTGGATAGTCAGAAATACTGTTATCCCATCTTGAAGTCAGATATTTGATACCAATCAGTATGCCTACCGCTATTCTTAGGTTAGACCTACTAAGTGATAGAAGGGAGCTTGTTCTAATTCTCAAAATTACCGTCCATATGACCTTAGATACCGTACAACCGTTCGCTAATGTTATCTTCTTCCAGCTTTTTGATAAGTGATTTTTTCAAGCAGCTGACATAATAGCGTATTGGTATTTTAACATCAATCGGTAGATAAATCGACTGGGAACCACCCCAAGCAAATTCATCAGCCACCTCATTCCCCACTATGTTGCTATGTCCTGGAACCTAACAAAGCTTAATGAAATCGAGTATTTCAATGGTAGTGGTAGTCAGCAGTGTCCCTCGATTTAAATACACTTGATTTGATAGCTTTAAGGGCCGCCTGACTATCGACTAATCTTTTAACGTATCTTCATTGCAAAAATCTCCACCTAAGAAAAGCTGCAGTTGTGTTTATATGAGTTTTTAATCATGGGGTTATGCTAGAACTCGCCAGCATCAGTGCCTTTATCCACCTTGAAACCGTCTGTGTAAATGGCTATATCGTCTAGAGGAGTTACAACACCAGCCCATGCGTCCCTATCGTATACCTATAATTGAAGTCGAAAAAAAATTATTATTGGTAATCACTATTATTATTGGCATTATTATGGACATGCCCAACCCATGAGGAGTGCCATTCTTCAGCTTCCCGTAGTATCAGTGCACTCTTTGCAGCTTGAAATTGAGCTAAATATCCATTTGCTTGAAATGTGTATTGATAAATTCTAAGTTATTTTAAATTCAGTTGTAACTATTGTAATTTTGATACTAATTTACAGTAAGTAGGGTATCACAATTCATAAATTAAACCAAATTCATTAAATTAATCTTCTTTTAATTGGCAGATTTTCCACATTTTTGTTTATTTCCATTGTATTCTTGTTTTAATTATGCCACGGAGAATCCATGAAATCGTTGATAAGAGTTAAAACTTCCTGGATGATAAATCATCACATTAATATTGTTATTATGTTTTTACCGCTATTCATCGATCTGTTGCAAAATTTCCAGCTGTATCTCAAAAATTGCAAAGATTATTAAATTGCATATGTATGAAATACATTATCTTGTGTCAAGAAGACTCACTTTTATTTTCGGAATACAATTTTCTGTCTGTTCTATCTGTTGGTGGGTATGTGTCATTTACTCTGACTTCCGAACGGAATGAAGTTGTTTGATAAATTTTTATTCAAATGTAGCTGTACAAGTTTTGGGAGTGAAATTTTATGGATTGTAATGCCAGATTTACTATCAAAATAAAAACGGGGAATTGAATGAAAAGTCAACATTTCCTTTCCAAAATCATGCTCTATATATATCTAAAGATTTATTTTGTCACAAAAATGGCTAAAATGTTTGAGTGCCCAAGGCTTTAATACACCCTCCAGAATATTTTCGCGATAATATTGGGCATTTATTCTGATGCCACAGTCGATTAATACAAGCGGAGAGCGACCATCGGCTGTTATGACGTCTCACACCATCACAATGGCCGGCGCTTGAATTCTGGTGGCACATTTTCAGCTGACATCTATGGCAAGAAAACACGATCATTTTGTTTATTTACAAACTTCTGGACAACGAATGTTTTCTCATCGGAGAAAACCAAATTCGGCAGTTCACCACTTTCGGCCAAGCGAAGCAACTCTTTAGCCCTTTTGAGTCTATTTTCTTTCAGTTGCGGTGTAAATTCTTGCACTTTTTGGAATTTCAATGGCTTTAACCTGAGCTCATTTTTCAACATTTGCAGATTGGAATATTGTAATATGTTCAGCTCACGAGCCATTTTTCGGCCACTGCAACGCGGGTTTCGATCAAGTCGCTTCTTTACTTGTCGAACCATTTCTGCTATTGTTGCTGTTTTCTTCCGTCCACATCCTTGACGTCGGGCTACGCTACAAGTATCACGGTAACGAGCAATGGTACGAGACACAAAAGATTTATTCACATTGAAATGCTGGAGTGCTCTTACGATAGCCATTTGTGGTTTTCCAGCCAAATATAAAGAAATCACACTATCACGCTGGAATTCCATCACAAATAACTTTTTTTCAGGGAAATTCTCACCGAAATGCTTCTATACGCTTGTAAAGAATATAATGAGCTATCACTGGAATAATTTTAACAGCTGTCGGACGAGTGGCTTTAAAATGACAGCAGTCTGAAGTTGGTTTCAGTTTTTTTATCTCACCCTGTAAATCGGTTAACCCATTGGATTTGGGCTAAAATTGTCATATCCATTGCTAATACTGCAAATAAATCCTCTTGAAGTAGGTTAACCTAATTTGCTAATTACATTTGGTTAACAGAAATATTGAGATACACGAAGTTTGATGAAAATCGCTATAATTATTCAAAGTGTTCATACTTTGTGGGGAAGTTACCAGAAGGATGAATCGATATATATCATCTTCTCACCAGATCTTGTGTTAGTGGAAATGTGATGCTTATTTCGCATTTTAAGAGAATTTGGGTTATTGCTGTTATGGGGAGGTACACGAATTGGTGTTCCTAAGAGAATTGGATGCTCAATTCGAATTTATGATGGTTTTGGTTATTCAAAATGTTGTCCCTATGTGAGGAAAGTACCAGATTGAGTGGGCCGATATCTACCATCTTCACAACAGATCTTGTGTTGATAGAAATATTGAGATGTGCCGAGTTCGAAAGGAATCTGATGCTCATTTCGATTGGCTAATTAAAATTTGGATCGATATCTTCGCACCCGATCTTGTGTTAATAACATTTAAAAAAAAAAAAAAAAAACATTAAGTTCGGTCGGGCAGAACTTACAATACCCTCCACCTAAGGGCAAAGGACACATTTTCATAAAAAAGTATTTGAATTCAAGAGTGTGTTATATGGGGTCATTCCAAAATGGGAACATCTGTAGGCAATTTTATACTTCAGGGTTGTCATCTATCAAATCTTCTTAAATACCAAATTTGAAACAATTATGTGGGTAAAACTGACTAGGATTATCTATATATCGAATGTCGGCTGGTATGTGCGATATGTGCGCTTTGGGAAAACGTGGAACCAAATATTCAATTTTTTGCCACCGGGCTAGAGCCCATTATGAAATGAAAATACTAATTTTTATCAAAATATCGGGATGTACCGTTATATTGGGGCTAATCAAAACGTGGTCCTGTACATACAATGTTTCGTCATACGAGCTAATATCCATTTGAACAAACAAATACCATTTTTAAGACAAATTCGTTGGAAAATGTGGCAAAAATCATCAAAATATTGAATATCGGGGGGCTATACAACATGGGGCTATACAACAACGTGGTCCTAACCATACAATGTTTCTCCACCGGGGCTAGAACCCATTATAACCCACAAATACCAATTTTTAGACAAATCCGCGAAAAAATGTGCGAAAATCATCAAAGTGCCCAATTTTGGGAGGTACCGTTATATGGGGGCTATGCCAAAACGTAGACCGATACATCTCATTTTCAATACCAACCATCCTAGACACAATACAAATTGTTTTGCCAAATTTTGAAGGTCTACGTCAAATAATGTGGGCTTTATCGTGACTTGAACAGACAGAAGGACATCGTTAAATCGACTTAGAATTTTATGCTGATTATGAATATATATACTACGATGAGTAATTAGCCTCCATACTACGATGAGTAAATACCCTCCTTTCCAAGGTGGAGGGTATAAAAATGTTTGAATATGTGAATTTGGTTTTCTCCGATGAGAAAACTGTCGTTGTCCGGCAGTTTGTAAACAAACAAAATGGTCGTGTTTACTTGCCAAAGAGGTCAGCTGATAATGTGCACCTTCGGTTGGCTACCAGAACTCAAACGCTGGCCATGATGATGGTGTGGGCCGCTATAACAGCCGATGGTAGCTCTCCGCTCGTATTAATCGATCGTGAAATCAAAATAAATGCCGAATATTATCGCGAAAATATTCTGGGGGTGTATTAAAGCCTTGTACACACAAACATTTTGGCCGCAGACTTTGGACATTCCAACAGGACTCAGCACCATAGCACTCAGCACGCGCCACCTAAGAATGGTTACAAAATGAGGTTCCTCGATTCATTTCCAGCGCACAATGGCCACCAAAATCTTCGGATACCAATCCGTTGGACTATTGTGTCTGGAGTATTTTGAAAAGCAAAGTTGGCACTAAAAATACCAAAGTGTCGATCACCTCAAGCAAGCACTTCACCAGGAATAGGCCAAAATACCGCAGAGCAACATTCGGGCAGCGTGTGACGTGTGGTTCTATTGGCTGGTTGAAGGCCATAATTCGTGCCAAAGGTGACCAATTCGAACCAATCTAAACTTATTATAAAATTTGATGCTATTTGCAACATTTTACGCTTTAATTCAATTAAATTTAAAAAAATAATTATAAATGATAGCGAACTGACATGCATAAATCGACGCAGAAAGTGAATCTAAGAATATCCTCCAAAGTAACTACTAACTAACTACTCAATTCCTTCTCCATGTTACAATCAAATGCACAAAGACATAATACTCTTACCACAATGTGGTATTGACTATAAAAACAATTATGGGACGCCATGAAATTATATATACCCATAAAAAGCTTTTCTTCTATCCGAAATTATCTTTCAGATGAAATGTTTCCCACAGATTTCTGGACTTTCCTTTTGTAGCCTCTTTCATATTGTGATAACTTGCATTCAGTTTTTCTTCAATGAACAATTCTTTAATTTGTTTGATGCCCTTTATGATTTGCTTGGTTTTTATCCAATAAATGCATATATTATAGAAATATGTAGATTAAGTAATCAAAACAAATATTTAAATTTCTGAATATTTGATGCCACTAAACAAAACAAATGTCGTTTGTCTTATCTCCTTTCAGTTGATTTCCCCATGTTCTAAGACCACTTTTTGAAGACCTCACATTTAATTTTAAAGCAGCAGCGATAAGTAGTTTTTGTTGGCCCATCTCAATTTTTCAATATTATTTTATAGATTTTTTACACTTTGTGAGATTTTTGTGCTGCTTATTAATTAACATTTTTTTATTTAATAAATGTATTTTTTGGTAGTTGTTGTTGCTGTTGTCACTATTAATTTTATTTATTCAGTCATGTTTGATTTTTAAGTTAAAGTTTATCTTCGAAATTACCGGCTTTAGCTGCCGCACACAAACAGATCACTAGGCAAAAGTTTCTCACGAGACTTGTAAACATTTCTCAAAAAAAAAAAAAAAAAAAAAAAATCAAATATTTGAAAATAATTTCACGATCTACACTTGGAACGAACGGTCGGAGCTATTCACGTCTTAACCATACGCGAGATGTTCGTAGACTGATCTGGCAAAAACAATTGAATGCTGAGTTCAAAACGTTACTCAAAATATTGATAAGATACTCTCAGAATATCTCGGAGATAGACTTGAAATCATTATTTACAGTAGAACATAAATATATGCACATATTAATTTGAGTGGACATGTGTGCATACATGTGTAATGTCAATTGTATTGCAGTCCAGCAGAGGAAGAGTGTAAATGGGCAATGGACACCCAGAGCATTGTGGTGATCCTAGATAAACAAACCGGCTTTTAAGTGCAGCATCACCGAACGAACGATCGCTTTGTTGTGCTTCTGGTGGAAGAAGCATGAATGGGTGTATAGATGAATCATTGTTCAGAACGTACGAAGCGTTGTGACATGTATTAATGATTAGCTTTTTTTTTCATTTATTCAAATAATGCTAGTGATGGAGATTCCAACTTTTTAGGTTTTTCAGAGTGGAAATTACATTGGTTTTCTATTTTACATTTTGTGTGTGTGCATTGTAAAGCTTCTACGATTTAAATAAAGCAAAATAATTTCGACTAATGCAAGAACTTTATATTCGTTCGAAACACTTGAGTCCTTTCCAACTAAAACTAAACGTAATTTTTTTGGAGTAACAAATTCTAGGTAAATTTAATTAGAAACTTGTCAACGAATGTATTTGGATGTATATTATTTAGATTCAATAGCGGCTTGACAGACGCTTTCAATTTAGATCGAAAAATACTAAAACAACTAATTGAGGTTTAAAGTTGGAATGTGTCGTACTTTTGCTATATTTTACCAAAAAAAAAAAAAACGATTTTAGGTTAAAAATTCGTATAAAAAAAAAATAAATAAAAAAAAAGAAATAAATAAATAAAATTGTAATAATAAAATAATGTGTGATTTTTTATAATCTTTTTGGAAAACTTGTTTAAAGAGCTCACGTTTCGTGTTTTGTTTCACTATCAAACTATCTTCAATTTGGTCTATAATATTGTGCAACACAAAGAAATAGAATGGAAAGAATACGCCAGGAATATTTAAAACATATTTTAGGGTTGAGTGTGAGTTTTTGCAAAAATCTCCATCATCATTGTAGAAGGATGATATTAAAAATAAAAATATTTTTCGTCAAATCTTACAATTAGTCAACAAAGAGAAGAAATTTCTCTTTCCATTGTATGGCTAAGTATTATTGCATCAATGTTCCAAAACAAAACAAAAAAAAAAGTAAAAAGGCAGCTAAGTTTATGTATGCAAGTCTACGTCTTCGTATAGCCCCCATATAACGGTACCACCCGATATTCGGCATTTTTGTGATTTTAGCGATATTATTCACCGAAATTGTTTCAATTTTGGTATTTGAAGTTCGTAACGGATACTACAGCCTATGACAGAAAAATGTCTGTGCAGGTCCAGGTCTTCGCATAGCCCGCATATAGCGGTACCCCCCGATATTCGGTATTTTGATGTTTTAGCGACATTTTTCAACTGAATTGTTTCAAATTTGGTATTTGAAGTTCGCTGTGCACAGAAATTGCTAGGACAGAAAATTGTCTGTGCAGGTCCACGTCTTCGTATAGCCCCCATATAACGGTACCACCCGATATTCGGTATTTTTGTGATTTTAGCGATATTATTCACCGAAATTGTTTCAAATTTGGCCCAGGTCTTCGTATAGCCCGCATATAGCGGTACCCCCCGATATTCGGTATTTTGATGTTTTAGCGACATTTTTCAACTGAATTGTTTCAAATTTGGTATTTGAAGTTCGCTGTGCACAGAAATTGCTAAGACAGAAAATTGTCTGTGCAGGTCTACGTCTTCGTATAGCCCCCATATAACGGTTTCTGCTATATTCGGTATTTTGATGATTTTAGCGACATTATTCACCAGAATTGTTCTAAATTTTTGAGTTTGAAGTTCGTAATGAATACTACAGCCTAAGACAGAAAATTGTCTGTGCAGGTCTACGACTTCGTATAGCCCCCATATAATGGTTCCTCCCTATATTCGGTATTTTCATGATTTTAACTACATTTTTCAGAGATTTTTTTTTCAATTTTCGCATTCAAATATTCTTATGGCTTATGACAAAAGTTGCAGGTCCACGTCATGGTATTGACCCTAATATAACGGCTACATTCGGTATTTTTTAGATTTTAACAGAAATTTTAACGGATTTTATTTATTTATTTTTTTTTTTTGAAAATTCGTTTCAAGTGGTGGAGGATATTCAAAGATCGGCCCGGCCGAACTTACAGCTTTTTTACTTGTTTCTATTAAACTCCTGAAAGTTTCATAAAATGTCGTTTTGGGTGAAAGATGTCCGAAAAAGAAGTACAATAGTTTTTATGAAAAATACATTCAAAATGTATGTACTAATTGCGAAAATTATGTATTTGTTTTTATTATTTTTTGTTTTGTAAATTAAACAAGTGTTTACTGCAAATCAAAATTTCCCTTTATATTTTATTCATTGGGAAAAGTGTCAAAGTTAGAACTATTCGAGATCAAATTTCATTGTGGGTCTCTGAACAAAAGAAATTCGTATACTTTATATGTTCCATAAAAAAGTTCTATGGTCTTTGTTCTATATTTTGACATATGTTTCGCAATATTTTGGATAGAGATCTATGGATTAATTCCGAAACCAATAGTACAGAAAATGGTTCATATCGGTCCACTCTTTGAAATAGTCGCCTTGTAAGGATAATTCCGATATCAAGTATTTTTTCAAGTGTTGTAATTTTTCCTTTAAGAAAAGCTTTTTATACAGACCTTATAAAAATACATTCCCTGATTTTATTTATTGTGGGCTTATGCCATATTTTCCTATCGATTTGGCTTCAAATTGGTTTATTTGGTGCGTAGAACACTTCACACACTAAATCCCTTACCCTCACAATAAATAAATACAGGGGACATCCTTTTATATTGATATTTTTGTAAATAGCGTTTCTACATAATAAGAGCTCATAAGGTCTAAATTTGGCGACATTAATTGGAAAACATGGCCAAAATTAAAAAAAAAACTTGAAATCGGAGTTATCCTTTTTACTTCACGTTCGGGACCGGTCAATTGGCCCCCAATATCGTGCGATTTAATGCCTTTAGAATATTTTTTGTAGGGATTCGTGAGATACCAGCCGAAATGTTGGAAAGAGAATATCAAAATTTGACTAAACGGATGGACCATTTGATGTGCAATCGCTGTCAACATTTGCATGAAATAATCTTCAAACATTAAATTTTCTATAACTCTTAAAAAACCCTTTACTAGCCCATTCAGTTGAAAAATTCAGTTAGTTTCTTCGAAATGTTAATATCCCAATCAAAAACCTGAATGTAAAATTTTGGCAAGGATTTCGCACAGTTCATAACTTTTATATTTATATTCATACTTACATACATACATATTTCCAAGTGAAATATACAAAAATGTCAAAAAGTAAACATTTCGGTGGAGGTCCCATCCTGCATACGTTCCTGTGATGAATGTGTGGTAGTTTCTCCCTAACTTTTCATTTTCACTGTAAATTTCAAAAAATGCAACGAATTTTGTTGAAACAGTGTCCAAAAGAATGAAAATACTCAAAGTCGGGACGAAATGGCGGATATAGAAAAACGTTTTTTTTTTCAGGACGATGTTTCAACAGCTTATTTGTTCAAAAATTAAGCTCCTTTATGAATCACAATGCATTGCACAAGATGCAATTCGGACGTCAAATGAACCTCACTTTCCAAAGACACTGACGATTGGCTCTATATATAATCCTTCAACATTAAAGCGCATCTTGGTTTAAAATGTTGACATCTCTTCTAATGAATCTTTGCCACTAATTTTAAACTAATAACTTATTTTTGTTCACTTGTTTCTACAGGTTATTTGAAAATAAATTCTAACTTTATTTCTTATTATTTACTGATGAGCTTTTGTTTATCTTTAGTGATTTTGTTCGCTTAGTTGATTACTGATGAGATTGATTATTCGATTTCATGATAATTTGGTAAAGCATGCCGTGTCACTAATTCAAATTATACTACATCCATTTTTTTCCTGGGGTACTATTGAAGGGAGTTCTGAATGTATGATTGCACATACTGTTTATGATAAGTAAGTAGTTAAGTTCGGCCAGGGACCCAATTCTTGTTCTATTAAAATGTGAAATGAAAACTTTTATAAAGGAAAGAAATGTCAAATGAAAAATTTTATAAAATAAATTTTTTTCATTTCATATTTTCATAGAACAAGAATCCAGCCCCAGGTCCAACTTTTTATGGCCTTTATCTGAATCTTTATAAGCAGTTCTTTGCAAGAATACAAACTTTCCAAAGAAACCTTAATTCGGGAGGTATTGTTATTTGTGGGCTATACCAAATATATGGCCCATTTTCAATATCAAAAATTATACGGTTTTAAAATACCTTTAAACAAAATTTTATTAACCTACTTCACTTCGTTCGAAAGCTGGTTAAATCGACATAAACATTCATATTGATTATGGAAATACAGGGTGAGATAAAAAACTGCAATAAAGTCAAACGTCATAATTTTTTCTTTTTTTTAATTTTATTGAATGAAAGCAAAAAATGTCGGAAATAGCATCAAATTTTAGAATAAGTTAAGACTTGTTCGAATTGGTCATCTTTTGCACGAATTATGGCCTTCAAACGGCCAATGAAATCGCCACACGCTGCCCGAATATTGCTCTGCGGTATTTTGGTCCATTCCCGGCGAAGCAATCGCTTGGTATTTTTTAGTGCCAACCTTGCTTTCCAAAATACTCCAGACACAATAGTCCAAAGGATTGGTATCCGGAGATTTTGGAGGCCATTGTGCGCTGGAAATGAAGCGGGGTCTGCGGCCAAAATGTTTGCGTGCCCAAGGCTTTAATACACCCTCCAGAATATTTTCGCGATAATATTCGGCATTTATTCAGATACCACGGTCGATTAATAGAAAATATAAAGAAATGACACTATCACGCTTGAATTCCATCACGAATAACATTTTTTCTAGAAAATTCTCAACAAAATGCTTTTGTACGCTTGTAAACAATATAATGAGCTGTCACTGGAATAATTCTAACAACTGTCGGTCGAATGGCTTTGAAATGACAGCAGTCTGAAGTTGATTGCAGTTTCTTCATCTCACGCTGTAGCTTATCATCCATTCTCAAATGATTTATGGTTAATAGCTTTGATAAACACTTCCCTCAAAATAGATTGGTTAAATTTATTTGTTTGTTAAAAAACAAAACAACTGATTACTACATAATACATACAGAGGAAATTTTTCCAGTAACAATTTACAAACTCTCTGTATTCAAATGCCAAAATGCCTCTCCCATTTCGCTCTCACGCTCTCCAGTAAAAATTTGTAAAAATTATCGAGTAAACGAACACTCCTTATGTAATCTTTAAATTTATTCACAGTGTATCTATTGCCTAAATTAATTGTTTTAAAAAAATATATAAATATATATAAAGAAATCTCAAATTGTTAAAGCATGTCACAAATCACACTTATTTATGGCAATAAATTAGCAATTATCCAATCCATATAACTTCCAACTCTGGTATAGATACCGGGCCAACCGCTCAGTCCACATGGTTGGGGTCCGTAGGATACAAGACCGGCAACAAAATATACATTGCTATCATCAATTCTTTCCGTTACCATTAAAGGGCCACCAGAATCGCCAAAACACGTATCGACACCCTCCTCGCCGCCAGCACACATTTGAAAGTTCGAATTTATGGCCATTCCGTGGGAGTGATATGTCCGCTTGCAACGTGTTGCATTCCACACTTTTTGATTAATCTTTAACTTGATCGGACTGTTTGTACCATTTTCGGTTGCACCCCAACCCGCCACTTCCATAACTTGATTTGTAAATAATTTGCTGCGAATGCTCTTGGCCACAGGCAAACAGATTGGTGTAAAGTGCGTCAAACGTGTTACACTGTCCACAAGACGGATGAGGGCAATATCGTTAAATTTATACAGCGATGTTGGTATATACGACGGATGAACAATAGCATAATCAATGCGAATATCGGTATAGGGATCAAAGCAGTCTCTGCGTCCACGAGTATCTACAACACAGTCTGGATCTTGCCTTAGATCCCATTCTCCCAAACGCACAGCATAGAGCTCCCAGTGGCTTGGAATATTTAAATTCTTGATACAGTGGGCCGCTGTTAGGACATAATGTGAGTTTATAAGACTACCACCACAATAGAAACCAAAAGCATCGGGAGCTGAAAGTATTTAAATAATATTTGAGAAATACTAGAAATTACAAAGTATTTATTTACCTTTTCGCCTTACCAGTCTTGTATTGTATTAAAGCCATCCATGGAAACTCATCAATTTCGGTTGTATTTCCACCAAGTATTCGATTTGACAACATTGTTCCACATTCGCCTGGTTTGGGTAATATATTACCCGGCACTGTTTCCCCTTTTCTATTATGAGGCCGTTCAGTACAACAAACCTGTTAAGCAGATGCATGAACATTTATTTTGACTCAGAATTATTTAGAAAATTTGTATATTTTTTATTACCAGTATTCTTTTCGCAAGGGAATCTTGCGAACTATCATGACCACACTGGCTCTTGTTCATGAAATGTCGTGTTTCCTCAGTCAGATTGGTAGTTAACATGTTTAGTATGTATGAGCATTCTGCGAGTTTGATACAAATGCCCGGTTCTTGAAGGTGGTTTTTACATGCGCCATATGCTATTAAGGAATCTGGGAAAGATGGAAATCAAAGGTTCAGGGTTTAGTAAATAATGCTTTTAATTTTTTTTTCAGAATTTTTATTATTTAAATACTCTACGTATATAATGATCAAAATGAAATAAGGTAAATTATATACAGTGTGAGATAAAAAAAACTGCAACAAAGTCAAACGTCATAATTTTTATTTTTTTTAAATTTTATTGAATGAAAGTAAACATGTCGGAAATAGCATAAAATTTTAGAATAAATTTAGATTTGTTCGAATTAGTCACCTTTGGCACGAATTATGGCCTTCAAACGTCACACGCTGCCCGAATGTTGCTCTGCAGTATTTTGGCCCATTCCCGGCGAAGCGCCTGCTTGAGGTGATCGACACTTTGGTTTTTTTTTATAGTGCCAACCTTGCTTTCCAAAATACTCCAGACACAATAGTTCAACGGATTGGTATCCGGAGATTTTAGTGGCCATTGTAACCATTCTTGGGTGGCGTGTGCTGAGTGCGATGGTGCTGAGTCCTGTTGGAATGCCCAAGGTCTGCGGCCAAAATGTTTGCGTGCCCAAGGTTTTAATACACCCTCCAGAATATTTTAGCGATAATATTCGGCATTTATTCTGATACCACGATCGATTAATACGAGTGGAGAGCGATCATAGGGTATTATGGCGGCCCACACCATCACCATGGCCGGCGCTTGATTTCTGGTGGCCAACCAAAGGTGCACATTTCAGCTGACCTCTTTAGCAAGTAAACACGATCATTTTGTTTGTTTGCAAACTGCTGGACAACGAATGTTTTCTCATCGTAGAAAACCAAATTCGGTACTTCACCACTTTCGGCCAAACAAAGCAGATCTTTAACTCTTTTGAGTCTATATTCTTTCCATTGCGGTGTAAGTTCTTGCACTTTTTGGAATTTCAATGGTTTACTCCGAGCACATTTTTCAATATTTGCCGAATGAAATATTGCGATATGGTTAGCTCACGAGCCATTTTTCGGCTACTGCGACGCGGGTTTCGATCAAGTCGCTTCTTTACTTTCGAACCATTTCTGTTTATGTTGCTGTTTTCTTCCGTCCACTTCCTTGTCGTCGGGCTACGCTACCAGTATCACGGTAACGAGCGATGGTACGAGACACAAAAGATTTATTCGCATTTAAATGCTGGAGTGCTCTAACAATAGCCACTTGTGGTTTTCCAGCCAAATATAAAGAAAACATTCGAACGAAATGAGATAGAAGGCTAAAAAAGGGTCATGTCGGTCCACGTTTTCGTATAGCCCCCATACCTCTCGATATTCGATATTTTCCTGATTTTAGCGACATTATTCACCGAAATTATTTCAAATTTCATATTTAAAGTTCGTAATGGATGCTACAGCCTATGACAAAAACTGTTATATGCAGATCCACGTCTTCGTATAGTCTCCATATATATGCAGGGTTTCATTTAAGTGGTAGTTTTCGGATTTTTTTTTTTGAAATTTTTCAAGATCCTTCCAAATGGAGGAGGGTATTAAAAGTTAGGCCTGGCCGAACTTTGCTGCTTTTTTACTTGTTTACAATAAAATTTGCAATTCTGATTTTATGTTCTAACAGTTTAAAAGTGTAATGCATTATTTTTTCGAAACAGCTGTTTTCTTGGTCTAACTGAATGTTCGTCGATAACTTTTTGAGAGATAACATTTTCTCAATAAACTTTACTGAGTAATTTTTACTGGAGTAGTCATCGTAAATACCTAATGATAAATATCCGTTTGGTTTAAAATGAAAAGATGCCTAAAAATGCTTTAAAAATAACTAAAATCGGGAGAACCCGAAATATAAAAATGTATCCAATTCTGTTAAAAAACAAAGTAAAAAAGTTCGACAGCTGGAGAATGAAAAAAATTAGTACATATGGCCGAATTCAACCTAGAAGTAAGTCTGCAAAATTATTATTATTTTAATACCCTCCACACAAAATCCGTAGAAAAATACCTCTCAAATGAAACCCACAATTGATACGAAATTCAATTACGAAATTTGTTGAAACAATTCTGGTAAAAAAATGTGGCTAAAATCATCAAATCATTATATGGAGCGCAAACGTAGACATAGACCTGCCATTACGAACTTTAACTACGTAAACAATTCCAGTTAATCATATCGCTAAAATCATCAAAATACGAAAAATCGAGAGGTATCGTTATATGGGGGCTATACGAAGACGTGGACCTACATACGCGATTTTTGCATAGGCTGTAGTACCCATTACGAACTTAAAATACGAAATTTGAAATAATTCCTGTAAAAAATATCGCTAAAATCATCAGAATACCGAATATTGTGCGGTACCGTCATATGGGGGCTACATGAAACGCAAAATTTTAGCCTTCTATATCAATTCGTTATAAAGTTAGCGTGATTACCATAGACAAACAGAACAACATCGCTAAATCGACTTAGAATTTTACGCTGATCAAGAATATATACACTTTGTTGGGTCTGACATGAATATTTCGAGGAGTTACAACTTATCCTAAAATTCTATGCCATTTCCGACATTTTTTGCTTTCATTCAATAAAATTAAAAAAATAAGTTAAAAATAATTTGTTGCAGTTTTTAGATCTCATCCTGTGTAAGGATTAATGTTAATAAGGTTAATTTATGTTAATAAGGAAAAGTTATGTTAATTACTACGCTCATAACTCGAGAAAGTCTTGTCCGATTTTGACAATTCCCACCACGTTCGAATAGTCTCGGAAATCGGTTTCCCACATAGGAAAGTATATATGGATCTTTCTATCCCACCGAGTCGATCTAGCTATATATGTCCATCTGTCCATGTTAATTTGTAATCACTCTACAGGTCGTAATTTTGTACCGATCTTCATGAAATTTTGAATGGAGGTGGGGCTAGGGCCAGAATGGATGGAGATGATTGCATAATATTTAGGTTCTAATGGACCAAAAACTGAACATTTTCCTGATTTTGCAGTTGCTCTACAGGTTACAATTATAGACCAATCGTAGCGGAAGCTAGCATGGGGCTAGAGGGCTTAGGGCTGGGTAGAAGCCTTCCAATTCTGATGGTCATCGGGTAATATAACCATAACATTTGTGCTAAATAAAAGTCAAATTTTAGATAAACCGCGAATATTTTTAATCCCGGCGAAATCACAAATAGACGTACAGGTCCATTCTGACCGTTACGTACATGCCGATAGTAAATATATCGGATACATATAGCGAAATATATACAATGTATATATACAAAGGAAAGGGATATTAGCTAGAATGCTTGTAGATTTTGACAAATTTTGTCAATTCAGAATGCCCTCTTGGCATAAAAGAATAAAATCTAAAAAATCACATAGAAAGATGCCAAAAATGATTTTGATATAGATTTTGTAGTATTTTGTGACATTTTTTCATATTTTCTACCGCGTGCGATTTTTTCAATTTGACTCATGATATTTTGTTTTCACCTTACAACACAGGTTGGTGTTATTATATACAGATTACAATTGTCGGCCGATCCTCACGAAAATCTTCACAAGGATACGGTTAGGCTCAGAAGGGCCAGGCCTATTTGTTTTAATAATATCCGCAATATATTTAGGGGTTGAAATGGACCAACAACTACTTTGGACCAACAGCAGCTTTGTGTGAAAAAATACCAAAATATACCGCTAATGACCTGGTCGAAAAGCTAAGGGTAATATATGGGAAATGCTCTAAGACAAAGGAAAATCTTCTAAAATGGATTTGGACATAAGGGGGCTTCTAACATATTGTAGTGTTGTAGGGTATCACATGGTCTACCCCGCACGACTATAGCCTTTGCTTACTTGTTTTTACTTGTTTTTGTTATTTTTCAGTTCGCATGATATACATTTTTTAATTTGACTTCATATATTGACATTTTGTTATGGTTTCTTGTTTCTAATCCTACTCTAAATGAAATTAGTGTACAAAACGATGATGGTTATGAAATCGACGCGGCTGGGAAAATGAGAATTAAAAATTTCACGTATGAAACTGGTTAGAACAGCTATATAACACAATGCGAATATATATAGTGAAACAATTTTCAAAGACCACATTTCCGTCCAATGAGGGCACAGTAAAATTAAAGTCCGTTCAATTGAAAATTGGAAAAATCATTGAAACACCGAAATTTTAGAAGCTACATGGAGATATACCAAATAGTATATCGCTTTTGAAAATATTCCGCTCTGCGAATCTTTATTTTAAGAACTTAAAATGCCAAGTGATTAAAGTGGATTATCCAGCTCATAGCTCAAAATATTTAAATTCGGAGTCATTTATGGGCCAACTAGCCAAAAAATAATTTTTCCATGTAAAATGGACAAAAATCTTAGAAAAATAACCACCTTAAAATTTGGACTGAAATTCCATTTATTCTGAAAAACAATTATCGCTTGGTGTTACTTAAATTAAATTTGCCTGATCTCTAAAAATATCATGTTTTCTATTCAATGTTGACAATGTTCCTTTTTGAAAAGTGACATTTTAAACCATAGGTATGTGTCGGAGCTCCGACATTAACAATATAACAAGTTATTTGTATTACAAATATAACATTAGTACTATATTCAACGACTTTCGTAGAAAGTTCTAATATCTGCAATTGCAAATACCGAGTGAAGGGTACGCAAGTCCCCAGAATTTCCGGAAATATAAAAAATCAATTTTGCAATGTTTCTTTTTTAGCTTATCGCTTTGAAATGACCTGATGGCATACGATTAACAGCTCCGTGTAGTAAAATTGTAATACAATTATAGATAAGCATTTGATTGGTGTAATGGGATTTTTTTCACTTTAAATTACTCACATACATATCGCTCATTTACTCTAAGAGTGTTATATATGAAAACACGCCTTTTTTAAGTTTTTGTAGTCCATATTGTGCCAATATTTAAATCCATCTCGAAAACTTTTGTTTTGAGCGACCAACTACTCACAGTGTGACAAACCATTTTAAGCTATTGAGATCGCATTACATTCTCGCATATATTTTCAGCTTTCAAGTTCCTAAGTCTCTGAGCAAGGTTGAAGCCGAGTTTATTAAATTGTTTACGAGACATTACCTTTTTAATACTATGTTTCAGTTGTTCAATCAAACTTTTCTGCAAAATCAGCTTTTTTGAGATATGAAACTTTTGAAAACACGAGAGAGACACATAGAATTAGAATTTTTAAAGTAGAATTTTTACTCAGATAAATTGAGATAAAAAAAATTGCAACAAAATCATTTCATTTACATTTTTTTTTTCAATTTTATTGAATGAAAGCAAAAAATGTCGGAAATAGCATCAAATTTTTGAATAAGTTTAGATTTGTTGGAATTAGTCACCTTTGGCACGCATTATGGCCTTCAGACGGCCAATGAAATTGTCACACACTGTCCGAATGTTGCTCTACGGTATTTTGTCCCATTCCTGGCGGAGCGCTTGCTTGAGGTGATCGACACTTTGGAATTTTTTAGTGCCAACCTTGCTTTCAAAAATACTCCAGACACAATAGTCCAACGTATTGGTATCCGGAGATTTTGGTGGCTATTGTGCGCTGGAAATGAAGCGAGGAACCTCAATTTGTAACCATTCTTGGGTGGCGCGTGCTGAGTGAGATGGTGCTGAGTCCTGTTGGAATGATTAATGTCTGCAGCCAAAATGTTTGCGTGCCCAAGGCTTTAATACACCCTCCAGAATATTTTCGCGATAATACGAGCGTTTAATACGAGCGGAGAGCGAACAACGGCTGTTATGGCGGCCCACACCATCACCATGGCCGGCGCTTGAGTTCTGGTGGCCAGTCGAGGGTGCACATTTTCAGATGACCTCTTTGGCAAGAAAACAGATCTTTTTGTCTGTTTACAAACTGCTGGACAACGAATGTTTTCTCATCGGAGAAAACCAAATTCGGCAGTTCACCACTTTCGGCCAAGCGAAGCAACTCTTTAGCTCTTTTGAGTCCATTGTCTTTCTGTTGCGGGGTAAGTTCTTGCACTTTTTGGAATTTCTATCGTTTACCCCGAGCTCATTTTTCAACATTTGCCGAATGGATATGTTCAGCTCACGAGCCATTTTTCGGCCACTGTGACGCGGGTTTCGATCAAGTCGCTTCTTTTCTTTTCGAACCATTTCTGTTGATGTTGCTGTTTTCTTCCGTCCACTTCCTTGACGTAGGGCTAGGCTGCCAGTATCACGGTAACGAGCAATGGTACACAAAAGATTTATTCACATTTAAATGCTGGAGTGCTCAAACGATACCCACTTTTCGTTTTCCAGCCAAATATAAAGAAATCACACTATCACGCTTGAATTCCATCACGAATAACTTTTTTCTGGAAAATTCTCACGAAAATGCTTTTGTACGCTTGTAAACAAAACAATGAGCTATCACTGGGAAAATTTGGTGGCAGTTTTTTCATCTCACCCTGTATATTTAGTAGAATTCTAATAATTTTTAGTGAATCAGATAAATTAAAAAAATATTGAGAAAACCATATGTCCAGAAGAATTGTTGAAGTCTTCCAATTGTAGGCGCACATTTTGTTTTCAATATTGTATTATTTATTCAATATTATTTCTGATAACTTATTGATTTTGTATTTGTTGTGTTGTTTTAATATTAATTTTTTAATATTATGTTTATTTAGCACTGTGAGAGTGTTGTTTTGCGCTTTTGATGTGTCTGTATTGTTATATTGCAGGTCCGACATTTTACATTTTTTTAATCAGTATACTTATGCGTTTTCCTTATTTATTTTTTTTTTTTTAACACTTTTTGAAAACTTCATTTGCTTCCATTTAGCGCCTTTTGATATCGGAGCGAAAGCTCTGTATAATCTTTTTTGCCATGGGTCATTATTCACAGTCTTAGATTTTTTAAATAAAATAAACTGTATTTGAAATGTTAAATTTTCTGATTTGAATTGCCAGTATTTTATAAACATTTGCCATATTATATTTGGATTCGAACAAAACATTTTTTTTTGTACTTGCAAATATATGCCGATTTATTTATCACCTTCGCAGTCTATTTTAATTCTTCAATTATAATTTTTTTGTTTTTAATTTTTCCGATTAAGTTACAACAATATCCGACAAAGGATAAAACCTGTGACGAAATTATTGAAATGTAGCGGTATCCAATGGTGTTTTAACACTTTAACGATTTAGACACAATTTATTTGATAATCAACGGCAAGTATCATGCTCTTTTATTTCGAGAGAATTACCGGGAATTAACTCAATTTTTTTCCTGACTACAATCTATTCCGAGAAAAAAGATCACTTTCAAAGCATAAAGACGATTTCCATTTCCCATCAAACAACACAATGATTGCGGAATTACAAACAGCAAAATTTTTAGAAGCTTAATTACCGGTATTTGCTACCGCACATAGGCCAATCAGCAAACACGCGTTTCTCGCAAAACTTAAAAACATTTATTTTTATTTAAAATTTAAATAACGAAAATTAGTTCACTACTTGGCTTCAAGGCAGATGATTTGCAACTGACTGTCCAGTCTATCTGGAAAGAAAATTAAATATAGCTTGCCATTGATAAGGGAGTAGCTTGTGATTCTCACTGATCGTAGACTGTAAATATGAACCATAATGAGATGTACTTGGGGAGGGAAGAAGATAAATATATACATCCCAGCAAACATTTTTCTTTCTATTTGAACCGTACATTTTTCCTGGTTTGATTGCCATGTATATTTTCATACCCTAAAACATATAGCAACAGAGGGTATACATATATCATTTGATACGGCCAAAACGTGCCTCGTCGAAATAACGGTTTCTTTGGGAACAATCCTTTACAGGATATTTTGTCTAAAAATTGTTTTTGTAAGTCATAATGAGTGCTATCTCCGGTGGCTTAAAAATAATATGTATAGGTCCACGTTTTCGTATATCCCCAATATAACGGTACCTCTTGATATTCGGTAATTTGATGATTTTTTCCACTTTATTCCACGGATTTGTCTAAAAATTGGTATTTGGAGGTCACAATGGGTTCTAGCTCCGGTGGCGGAACATTGTATGTCCAGGTTTTCCTATATCCCCCAATAACGGTACTTCCCGATATTCGGTATTTTGATGATTTTTACCACCTTTTTTTACGGATTTGTCTAAAATTGGTATTTGTAGGTCACAATGGGATCTAGCTCCGTTGGGGGAACATTGTGTGTATAGTGCGTTTGCGTATAAACCCATACCTCCCGATATTCGGTGTTTTGATTTTTACACAATTTTTAACGGATTTGTCCAGAAATTGGTATTTGTAGTTCGTAATGGGTTGTAGCTCGTATGGGTAGGTCCACGTTTTGGTATAGCTCCCATGTAACGGTACCTGCCGACATTCGATATGTTGATAAAAATTGGTATTTTTAGTTCATAATGGGTTCTAGCGCAGTGGCAGAACATTGAATATTTAGTTCCACGTTTTTCTATAACGCACACTTTATAGTTTTTTTGATAAGTTTAACTGCATTACATACTTCACATACTTTTATATAAAAATGTTTCCTTTACCCTAAGGCGGAAAGTATTAAAAGTTCAACCCGGCCGAAATTAATGTTTTTTACATATTTTATAGTGATCGGGAATATATATACTTTTTGGGGTCTATTACATATATATATATATATATATATATATATATATATATATATATATATATATATATATATATATATATATATATATATATATATATATGTAAAAAACATTAATTTCGGCCGGGTTGAACTTTTAATACTCTCCGCCTTAGGGAAAAGGAAACATTTTTATATAAAAGTATGTGAATTCAAGCATGTTTCACATTAAACTTTATATACCAGTAAGACCTTTGCATAATGCAGTTAAACTTATCAAAAAAAAAAAAATATAAAGTGTGCGTTATAGAAAAGCGTGGAACTAAATATTCAATGTTCTGCCACTGCGCTAGAACCCATTCTAGAACCCATTATGAACTAAAAATACCAATTTTTATCAACATATCGAATGTCGGCAGGTACCGCGGTATGAAGAACGTTTGTACAAAAAATTATGCAAATCGGTCCAGCCGTTCTCAACTGATTCCATTACCAACGAACAACAATTGAGTTATATATATATATATATATATACGCGTTTTTCTCGAAACCGAATGAGCAATATGTCGAAATGTGCGATATTTCGTTCTACCTCGCCAAAAGACAGTACAGGTGCTGTAGACTTTTTTTGACAACAAAAACAAATATCATAGCATTTTTAAATGTATACATTTAGATTCCCTACATATGCATGTTAAACATAAAAATGTCAAGTGGTCTGTGAAGCAAAAGTGGTGACCATGAGTAACAACTATGAGCACACGAATGTTCATCTGCACGGCTACATACTAATTCATACAAAGAAATACAGATATATATTCTTTATACATTGTTATGCTGTTGCCCACATCCTTGGACACATAGCCATGGACATGTGTTGTGTCAGCTTTTATGTTAGACAGGCTTAAAAGACAGGAACTAATTTTATAGATAACTGTAAACAGACAATTTGTATTTGAGTCTACGAAGTACAAAAAAAAAACTAGTAGATTTTCTCTCTCTCTCTCTCTCTCTCTCTCTCTGCAGCCGAGATGGCAAATACTGCACACACACATACTCCTTAACCATATATGTTCTTATGAGGTATGCATTGTATTAAAATAAAGATCCTTACGGCTAAATCTTTTTTGGATGTCATTGCATGTACGTCGTTTGTTCATTTTTAGTTGGGCTCTAATGGCGTTATGCTCAAATTTACTTTTAGTAAAAATGCAACAATGAAACAAACACGAAAAAGGCAGTTAGTCCGAGGAAGGGGAAATTTATCTCTTTAGTGGGTAGTTAATGTTGCTTTGTCAGATATTTTAGATCCTCTTTAGGTCCTTGAGGAATTATAATATTCAAGAAAACAATTCTGCATTTGTGACAAATTTTTGAGGAGATGCGTACGATATGGACACGAAACTTGAAAAAATACCATATGTTATAGCAAACACCGTTTAATGATGTTGCCTTAATTGGCTCTTCTAAGAAAAACAATAAATAAACTTACTTTTACGATTCAGAAGATTAAGCAATGCTTCAAAACTGTAATTTGTAATGTTGTACAGTAGGGCCTTGATTAGCCGTCATGCGGTTAACCGGTTATTTGTTTGCCATATTTTCAAATTTTTTGCTTGGATTAACCTGATTACCTCTACTCTCCGTAATGAAAAATGTTTATACCCTTAGCCATATGACTATAAAGGGTCTACAGGGTGAGATATAAAAAACTGCAACAAAGTCAAACGTCATATTTTTTTACATTTTTTTTTAATTTTATTGAATGAAAGCAAAAAATGTCGGAAATAGCATAAAATTTTAGAATAAATTTAGATTTGTTCGACTTGGCCACCTTTGGCACGAATTATGGCCTTCAAACTACCAATAAAACTGTCAAACGCTGCACGAATATTGCTCTACGGAATTTTGGCCCATTCCCGGCGAGGCGCTTGATGAGGTGATCGACACTTAGGTATTTTTAGTGCCAACCTTGCTTTCCAAAATACTCCAGACACAATAGTCCAACGGATTGGTATCCGAAGATTTTGGTGGCCATTGTGAGCTGGAAATAAAGCGAGAAACCTCATTTGGTATCCATTCTTGGGTGGCGCGTGCTGAGTGCGATGGTGCTGAGTCCTGTTGGAATGTCCAAGGTCTGCGGCCAAAATGTTTGCGTGGCTAACGCTTTAATACACCCTCCAGAATATTTTCGCGATAATATTCGGCATTTATTCTGATGCCACGGTCGATTAATACGAGCGGAGAACGACCATCGGCTGTTATGGCGGCCATCATCATCACCATCACCATAGCCGGCGATTGAGTTCTGGTGGCCAACCAAAGTGGCACACTTTCATCTGACCTATTTGACAAGTAAACACGATCATTTTGTTTGTTTACAAATCTAAATTCGGCAGTTCACCACTTTCGGCCAAGCGAATGGAATATTGACATATGTTCAGCTCTCGAGCCATTTTTCGGCCACTGCGACGCGGTTTTCGATCAAGACGCTTCTTTACTTTCCGAACCAGTTCTTGACGTCGGGCTACGCTACCAGTAACGAGCGATGGTACGAGACACAAAAGATTTATTCACATTTAAATGCTGGAGTGCTCTAACGATAGCCACTTGTGGTTTTCCAGCCAAATATAAAGAAATCACACTATCACGCTTGAATTCCATCACGAATAACTTTTTTTCTGGAAAATTCACTCCAAAATGCTTTTGTACGCTTGTAAGCAATATAATGAGCTGTCACTGGAATAATTTTAACAGATGTTGGACGAGTGTCTTAGAAATGACTGCAGTGTGAACTTGGTTGCAGTTTTTTCATCTCATCCGGTATTTTGTTATTTTTGTTCTCCGGAGCCGTAATATGCACTCTGTAACAACGATAATTGGGGAAATATATCAAATACAGCTCAGAAATACTTTTGCCAAATTTTATCTAAAACGGTTCAGATTTGGATATATCTCCCATATATATCTTCGTCCGATTTGTGTTTTATTGTGCACCAAACGTGTAATGGGATGGAATTTGACACTTACGATCAAATTGAGTCAAGAAACAAGATTGTCAAATTTGATGAAAATCGGTTTAGATATAACTATAGCTCTTACATATAATGTTCATCCGATTTGTTATGATTGTCCTTCGCAGCCGCAATATGCACTCTGTAACAACGATATATGGGGAAATATATCAAATACAGCTCAGAAATACCTTTGCCTTTGTTAAATAACAAAAAAGTAAAAAACATTAAGTTCGGCCGGTCCAAACTTTTAATACCCTCCACCTTAGGGTAAAGGAAACATTAGAGCCCATTATGACCCACAAACTCCAATTTTTAGACATATTCATGGGAAAATGTGCCAAAAATCATCAAAATACCGAATATCGATAAATACGGCTATATGGGGCTATGCAAAAACGTGGACCTATACAAAGTAGCTAGAACCCATTAGGACCCACAAAAACCAATTTTTAGACAAATCCGCGAAGAAATGTGACAAAAACCATCAAAATGCCGAATATCGGGAGGTACCGTTATATAGGGGCTATACCAAATCGTGGGCCTACACAAGCAATGTTTCGCCACTGAAGCTAGAACCAATTATGACCAACAAATACCAATTTTTAGACTAATCCGTGGAAAATGTGGCCAAAATCATCAAAATACCGAAAATAGGAAGGTACTGTTATATGGGGGCAATACGAAAACCTATACCTATACATACATTATTTCGCCACACGAGTTAGAACCCATTATGACCAACAGATACGATTTTTCAGACAAATCCGTTGAAAAATGTGGCAAAAATCAGCAAAATGTCGAATATCGGGAGGTACAGTTATATGGGGGCTATACGAAAACGTAGACCTATACATACATTGTTTCGCCACACGAGTTAGAGCCCATTATGTTTTACAAATATAACAATTTTAA